TATGCAGTTCGCACTTCGCACTTCGCAGATATCAGGGCATTTTAGTTTCTATTTTTTTAACTTTTGTTTAAATATTTAAAGTTTTAAATATTACATTAAAAAAATTCATTATATTAATTATAAAATATAATAAACTTTTAAATTTAAAATTTTAAATTAATACTTTTTTTAGTTTTAATCACTTGCACTTCCTGCATCGAGTGCCACGAGAGGTGATAATATGATCAGCTCTTACCCAAGTTTGGTTTGTTAAAAGAATTATTTAAATTAATTCATGTAAATAAAATTAGATAAATTTCATATTTGAGTTTGGTTTATTTTTAAAAATATAAATTTAGTTTTTTTTTTAATTTATTGTTTTTATGATGAAATTAATTCTCTTTTTCTTTATAACATGTCAAATCTTCCTTTAATCAACTTTCATTGTGACGGTGTTATATTTCATTGAAATTTAGATTATTTTTTAAAAAAAAATTCATCAAAATTCTAATATTTAACAGTAGAATTTAAGTTCATTATAGTTGAAGAATATATTTGATGCGAAACGAAAAAAAAAAATTTGAGGGATTAAATTCAACTAAAAAATTTAAAAATTACTTGTTAAATTAAAAAATTATTATTTTAAATTTTATTTATTTAAAGATTTAATTCCATATTTTAATATTTTTTAATTATTATATTTTCATTTTTTTAATGTTGGTATGTAATATATAATATTTTAATCAATGAAAATTGAGCAAAATAATTCTTTATGCAAGATAAGGATTAAAACATTTTGGCCAATATAAAACATAAAAATTAGAATAAATAAATGAAAATTATAGTAACTCATATTTAGGGACAACATAAAATCCTTTGTTTTTTGTTCAGACAATCTTATGCTTTGTAAGATCTACAATAAACCCAGTCTCTTGGTCCTCCTAAGAAGTACGCCATGTTTTTATAATATTTTTTAGATAATTATATAAAAAATATTATTTATATTATAATTATTTTATAAATTAATTAACGTATCATGTTATTTAATAATAAGAGTGTGTACAGGTTTGGGTTGACTTAAGAATCTAATGTGCAAATCAATCTAAACTTGCTAACAACGTTAAACGACATTTGGATTAAGGGGCTTCGTTATTGTACCATAAATATAAAACGACATTTTAAAAATTAAAAAATATTTGTATATTTTTAACAACTGCTAACTCTAACCGTCTAACCATCTATTATGTATATTTAATATAATATATTTTTTTAAATTTTTAAAGTACCATAAAAATTACTTAAATTAATATTTTTTAAAACATAAATACAAAATATTTTATGATATAATGAGAAATTATTTCATGGTATGGGACAACGTAATGTGAACACTCAAATTTAGATACATATAAAAAATCATACGTTTGAATTATTTATTATAAAATATTGTCAGGTTCAACAGTTGAAGCCCACGTTTTTTTAACGATAAAACTTGAATGTCGTATACTGAGATGGTACCAAAGCCTAATGTTAGCGTAGCTAAGAAAAGACCAGTGACTGATTGCAACAGCTAGAAATTGACTTATTCCATTAATAATATATTTTTAAAAACAAAACTTTTCATGTTTATCACCTTACTAAATGTATCTGATGTGCGTAATAAAAAAAATTGTAAACAAAATTAAGATATTTAGAGAGAGTTTGTTTTTCTTTTTAAAAATAATTTTCTATTTTTAAAAATAAAATACAATATAAATTTTAGACATACCCTTATTTATTCTTTTTTAATAATGTAAAATTTTAGAGATGAAGAAATGATGTTTCAAAGTTAAATAAGTTATTAAATTTAAGTAGCATCTAAAATGATTTTTTGTTTTAAAAACAGTTTTAAAAATAAAATATAATACACAAAAATTTTATATTTTATTTTAATTTTAAAAACAGAAAAATATTTTTAAATCAGATATAAAACATGTTCTAAGTTTTTTTCTTTCTCTCACTTATGAATTGTTTTCCTTTTCTTCTTTGGTATATTACATATGCTATACGATGACTTGGATCTAAGTCTCTAATTAATTAGTTTTCTCTCTTTTTTCATTATATATATAAAGACAACTTTTTTTTTGTTATAATAAAGACAACTTTTTTATATATTAAAGACAAATTTTTTAAATAAACTAATCTTTTAAATATTATAATTTTAATGAATTTTTATTTAGATTTATTAAATTTAGAATTTGGACACATCATATATCAATACAGATAATCTATCTTGAGTTTAATTAATAAGATCTTCATAATTTTAATTTAATTTCAAAGTATTACTTTTTAAATTAGTCCCATTTAATACAATAAAATACTCAAAATTAATAATAAAAATATTTACTATTATCTTTAATCCGTATCCAATATGGCAACATATATAATGTAATATTTTAACACACTGTAAATGACAAATAAGCTATTGAAACAATTAATCTAAATTTTTTTATTTGATTGGGTTTTTTTTTTTTACTAAATATCTTAGAAAATAAAAATAAGGAATTATGTTTCTTGAAAAAACTTTTCCAAAGATGCTTTAAATACTTTATTTGTATATTCTCTAAAGTTTGTCATAAACTTATTTATATTGTAGGATATAAATATTATAATTTTTATTTTAATACATTTAATATTAAATAATATATATCTTTACCAATAAATTGAATAATAAAATATCCAAACCGGGGTCCTTTCAATAATTATTTATAAAATAATTCTTATACCCAAACTAATACTTGTTTATTATTTTTAAAATTTATAGATATTTTAACAGCATCATCACCTAATCGATGCCATTATCTTTTCTATTCTGTTCACTTATTTCTTTAATTTTTTTCATATTAGTTGGGTAAATTTTTTTTCTTAATAAATAATTTTAATGAATATTTTCATTCATTAATTAAATTTTCACTAACAATAAATGAGTTAATGAAACAAAAATCTATTTCAGCATATCTAAATGTGAGGCACGGATGTGATATATAAAACTCAAATAAATGACGGTTGGTCCACTTTCCTACGTTGGCCTTATTTGCAACCATTTTCGGCCTTAGATTTTAGGATAGGATTCCTCTCCCAGCGATAATAGCACTCCTGAATAAAAAAAATAAACAAATTATTGACCAAAATAAAAAATAAAATATTTATAAAAATTTAAAAATAAATAATGAGAAGAAAAATAATATTTATAGATCATAAGTTAGTTAAGAGTATAAAAGTTAATTGAATTAGAGTTATTTAATACAATTACTTGTACAATTTGTTGAAACATATTATAGAAAATGAAAATTAAGGTTAGTTTATACAAGTGAAAATTATTAAAAATGTTAAGATTAAAATTTAAATAAAATTTTAATACTTAGATTTGAAAAAATTAATTTTTTTTAGGTAAAAGTTTAGATAAATACTTGTAGAAAAAAAATAAAGATGTAAAATGAATTAGATTTATTTTATAAATTAAAATTATGCATGCATGTAAAATTTAAAAAACTAAAGAACAGAATTTAAGAAAATAAAGAACTACAAATTAATTTCAATTTATTATAAAAGTTTAATATATTTATTTTTATAAATATTTATTAAAAAATATTCAAACTAAACTTTAAAATAAATTTTTATAAGTTAAATTTAAGAAATTATAAATTTTTATAAAAAATAAACTCTATTAATTTATTAAAATTTTTAAATAAATTATAAACTTACGCTATCAAATACACTAGAAGCTGAGTCATTTCCAACTCTAATGGATACCAAATAAACAAACGCAGATGAAAATGATCGCACATTCTCTCCAATATCATTTTATATTCATTAATTTTATTTTTATTCTAAATTTTTACAATACTATTTTACATTTTTAATGTCACATATTTTCAAGTAATTATCTTTTTTATTATGTTTTCATATGAAAATAACATTATTCTTCCATATTTAAGTAGCGTTCAAGATGAACTTTTTAGATTTTAAATATTGCCTTAAAATAAAATTAAAAAAAAACACTAAATTTAAGTTTAAATTTCATCAATGATCCTATACTTTTTTTTTTAAACTTTACCTTTAAATTCAAATTTAGGTAATGTGCTTTTGAATTTTAAAATTTAAAATAAAGATGGAAAAGGAGAAATAGAAAAAAAAAATACTATTTAAACTAATTTTTATAGTGGTCTCATTTTAAAATTTTCCTTTATTAAAAAAGGTATCAAAATAGTTTTATTTTCTTAAAAATCTATTATAACCAAATTCTTATTTAATAGATCAAAAGCAAGCTTCCAATAAATTTTTAAAAACTCTACCTTAGAATTCATCTCGTGTGAGGAGAAAGGGGAGAAAAAAAATGTGTATACATATTTTCTAAATACTTACTCTTACCTTTATCTCCAACTTAATTGTTGATAGGAGTATAACTGTTTATTAAAAAAAATCACTTAATTTCTTTTACTTTTTTCTCATACCAAATAAGCCTAAAACCTCCTTTTTACCGTCTTTTTTTTTTTTATCAACATTAACCAAACAAAGTATAAAAAATTCCTAAATTAATTTTGTATTTATGTTACAACTTTTGGCAAAGAAGTTTAAACTTTTGACTCCATGCAAACATTTAAATCTTTTACTACTAGTCTAGCTCTAGTAGTTTTATATCGGGTTTTTAATAAACATAAAAAAAATGAAATTTTATCAAAAATTAATAAAATAAAAGAACACTAACTTTTCACACATAAAATTCATCTAAAATCTGGCCAATTTAAAACATATTTTAAAAGAGAAACGGCAATTATACAATAACATTGTATAATTGTTTTTTACAAACTAGAAAATGATAAAACATAAAAAAGAAAATTGTTACAATAAAATTTTGTATAACTCTATTCGAGATGAGGAACAACCCCACCTGTCTAATCAATTGGGTTGAGCAACACAATCAGAAGTTGGGTGGTGAACCCTCTCACTCCTCAATTTATATAATAATCTCTCTCACTTCACTCAACTCATACAAAACAAAGAAGTGTAAGAACACAGAAACATAGAAGCAAGTAGGAAATATGCTTATGCAACATATTTGTGTATCAAATTCAACTCCAACATGCCTCATATTTCACAAGCCATGCCTCCGTGGCATTGCTCATCCTTCATTTCAAGCTGGGTCGAGGCCATCGTTCCCAAACCAAAGGAAACAAAAAAGGGTTACGCATAAGTGCAATGGCGATATCAAAGCCGTGGCTGTGACTGAAGCAACAGCAAAATCAGTGAAAGTAAAAGCCACAATAACTGTTCAACCAACCGTTGGTGGGTTTTTCTCAGAACTTGGATTAGAACGAGGACTTGATGATATAAAGGATTTACTTGGTCAATCACTTCTCTTGGAGCTTGTTAGCACCTCTCTTGATCCCAGTAAGCATATAATATAATTGATAACAACTTCATTATTTTACCAAGATTATATATATAATTCATGTATCTATATCAGTTTCTTTATTTTTGTTGAACTTGAACACGTGAAAATACTACATACATACACATGCTCGTTCATGTTCAATCACCAAACTTCATTTAATGGTAGTAATTTGATTCTGTCAACGATGATGTACTTGAATTATGTCGACCACCCAACTTTTAAGAGTAACATATTTAAACTTTTAGTTTTCGCCTCAAATTGTTTTTTGTTTGAGATAAGCATTATAAAAAAGGAAAGCATTTTTTTTCCTTCTTACAATGTTTTTCATTTTTTTGCTTGAGAATAATCTTCACTTAATAATGAAGTCATCCATTTTCACTGTTATATTCTTACAAGTTTGCATCGTTAATTAATACTAAAGTCGCTCAGTAGCTCAATATTGTTTATTTTATTGAGTCTGTAATTTTTGGACAACGAAGTTTCATGCCTGGGTTGGTTGAAAGACGAGTACTTCCAAAGGAAGGGTGAGTAAACAGTTAGAGAGAAGAAAATACAGATATAAAATATATAAGTTTTTAGACCGTTTAAATTAAAAGAATTAAGAAAAATAAAAGTATGAAACAATTTTTTTTGCTTATTTTATTCAGTTAAATAGAAAAATAATGAAAATGTGATATATAAAATGACTTTTAATTATCCTTATAACATTTCAAAATAAAACTAAGTGCAAGTATTTTAATCGGTTTAACAAAGAAATATGTGAGACTCACTACTTTTCTTCTTTCTCTTCTCTCCATCTTTCCAAGCAAAAGGATGTCTTTGGAAGGTTTATTTTCAATTTTGCTCAATTTTTTTTTCTCTGCTACCTCTTGCATTTCAAATATTACATTAAAATTTACATATGAAAATATATTTATACTTTTTTAAAAAAATATGCACCAAAAAAATTGAAATTGAATTATATACATTAGTTTTGTCTTCTTGAGTAGATTCAATTAATTTTACTCGTATCTGTCAGACTGTAAAAGGTGACTTTCAACTATTGAAAGTATCATACAATAAAAGTTAACATTAGATTTACTTTTATACCTTTTTGACTTAAAAATAAAGATACATTTTTAACATTTATTCTAATAGATTCCGTATAGAACTTACCTTCAAAACGAAAATCTTGTGCAGTAGTGAGGCAAATTCTTTTGCGAAAATTGAAAAACGTACAATTTGTGCTGAAAAGCGTAATATTGTTTTCTTTTGCTTGTTTTGTGAAAAAGAGACGGGGTTAGAAAAAGAAACTATAAAAAATCATGTCCACAAAACGCATCAATCACCAAGAGAGGTAAAATATGAGGCAGAATTTGAAGTGCCAGAAAATTTTGGAGAGATTGGGGCAATTTTGGTGGAGAATGAGCATCACAGGGAAATGTTCATAAAGGACGTTGTCCTCGATGGCTTCCTGACTGGTCCCGTTAACTTCGCTTGCGAATCCTGGGTTCACTCAAAATATGATAACCCTGTGAAGAGGGTATTTTTCTCCAACAAGGTATCGTCACCAACTCAGATCTTCTATAGTTGATTCGTAATTAATTTAAATGAAAACAAGAATCGAATGAAGTTGATATTGCTTGGAAGCAGTCATACTTGCCATGGAAGACACCAGAAGGAGTGAAGAGGTTAAGAGAAGAGGAACTGGAACAATTACGGGGCAATGGACAAGGTGAACGCAAGAGCTTTGAGCGAATATACGATTACGATGTGTACAATGACCTTGGAGATCCTGATAGCAACATTGATCACAAGAGACCCGTTCTTGGTGGCACCCAAAATCCATACCCTAGGCGCTGCAGAACAGGGAGACCTCGCTGCGAATCTGGTACTTCTGCCTTCGCATCTCTTTCGATACGGTTATTTAATTATAGGAAATCTAAATATTCTTACACTAAACCTTTCATCCGATGTAAGAAGATCATTTTTCGTAATATATATATATATATATATATATATATATATATATATATATATATATATATATATATAAATGAATTATTAATTCCATAAAAATGAACTATTAATCCCATAAAAATGTATAAAATGTCCTATTGCAATTACTTTATATATTTTATAACTAGTAATAATATATATTTTTAAATATATTCTTTTATACACTTTATTCTTTTAAAAATTAACAATAAAAGTTAATTAATTATAAAAAATATTTTTTTAAAACTTATTGTCTTATCTTCTATATATTATCATTCTATTACCATTAATTCTTAAAACATGTATATCTTAATAATTTAGTTCGTCTCTCTCTCCATAAAAAGAAATAAACTTTTTTTTTTTCAATTAAGAAGTGTTGTTTATCTAAGTAACAATAATTACAAGCATACTTTATTTTGAAAATTGAGGTAAGCAATTAGCCTGTGATGAGTTTTGCTTTTCGGTTGATTTTATGTAATTAAAAAAAATCTATTAAAAATATTTATTATATTAAAACTATGTAATAATTTTTAAAAGAGTTTATTGCTTAGAATTATTTAAAATCAGTTTTAAAAGTTGATGTCAACATTTCTATACGCTATATTTTTTCACTTCGATCTTAGAATAATCATCGTAGTTGAAAAAGTTTATAATCTTAATTTGTCAAAATCAAACTCATTTCCGAATCACTCTTTTGAAGAAAGATTTTATAAAAAGGAAAAAATCCTATTTATTTGTGTTTTAAAAAATACATTAAGCAATTAAAATGTAAAAGACACGGGTGAAAGTAGCTGAATTTTTTTTTTGTAAGAATGTATACTTCTAGTTTCATATTAATATTTTAAAAATATTTGTTAGTAAATAAAAAAATCTAAATACAGAAAGAAACGAACCATTCTCTCTCATAAATATTTAAATTAATTTAAATAATTTTAATTTTTATTGTAATATTTTTTATAATAAAAAATTTATTTTTATGTTTTAACAATTTTTACTCTATATTAATATTTTAAAAAAATTAAAAAAATCTCCCTTTCCTTTTCCTCTCCACTTCCTTCTAAAATAGATTTTTTCTTTTGCAAAACCGTAAGAAAATCCCCTCCCCCCATGACATGCAATCGAAAGAAGTATCTCTTCCATTTGTTTTTGTTTTTACTCTATTTTCATGGCATTTAAACAACCTAATATAGAAACAAAAATGACACTTCATTTTGAGGTGTTAAAAAATGTGTACGATTGAGAAAAAATAAAAAATAATAAAAGAAAAAATATGATAAATTATGTCTTAAAAATAATAAAAAGGAAAGAATAAAAATTAAATTTAAAAGAAACTAAATAAAAATATATAAATGAATTAATTTTGAGTTTAAGTTTATTATTTTCAATACAAAATTTTATATATTTTAATAATTGTAATCTTTACTAGAAGTTTCCGAACTTTTTATTAGAAAATTACATACTGATGAAACTCGAATTATAAGATGTATTTCAGAAAATATTTTATATAAATAGTTACAAATTTATAGAATTAGTATATTATTACGTTAATATATTTATGTTACCTTATTTTAAAATGTAAATATTATATTAAATGAATATGTAATTTTAAAATTATTAAAACTAAAGATACTACTATACATCAACTTATTAAAATTTTAAAAAAGTAGAAATTAAATACAATGAATCATCAAAATAGATGGATCGACAGTCAGTGAGAGAGTGACACAACGTAAAAAAATAATAATAACGTAAGATTAAGAATTAAAAAATATATATTAATTTTAATAATATTTCATTGATAAAAAATAAATATTCAATTTTAAAATATAGAATTATAATGATAATAATACTAATAATAATATACAAAAAAATTAATAATAACATAATTTTATGAGTTTTATTTAAATAAATATAGTTATATGATCATTCATAAAATATAATTTAAAATTTATATGAAAGAATTTAAAAGTTGTTGACTTCAGGGTGACTTACGATGAAAGAATTTTGTATGATTCAGGACCACATAGTCCCGATCAATAAAAAAGTATTTCGTATATATTTTTTTAAAAAATTGACTAATGTCTCTGTTAAGATGCATAATTTGAAGTCTAATTAAAGAATTTGGAATGGATGAACAGATCCGTCGTCGGAGAAAAGAAGTAACAACGTGTACGTGCCTAGGGATGAATGCTTCTCAGAAGTAAAGCAGCTAACGTTTTCGACCAAGACCTTATACTCGGCGTTGCATGCGTTGATTCCAACGTTACAAACAGCCATCGTAGACAGAAATCTTGGATTTCCTGTATTCCGAGCCATTGATGATCTTTTTGATGAAGGACTCAGCTTGCCTCCTCTCAAAGCCAAAGGCCTTCTCAGGAATTTGTTGCCAAGGCTCATCAAGTTTATCAAAGATACCGAGGATGAGATTCTCCGTTTTGATCCTCCCGCAACAATGGATAGTAAGAAATTAACTGCCAAATACCAAATAAATTAAGTCAAAATAATTAGCTGAATAGTAAATTAATATCATTCATTCCCTACTCATTTGTTACTAATCAAATGTGATTTCCATTAATTTGGCAGAGGACAGGTTCTTTTGGTTAAGGGACGAAGAATTTGGAAGACAGACTCTTGCGGGTCTTAACCCATGTTGCATCGAATTGGTCACGGTACATGCACTTATTTACTAGCCCAGGATGTCACTCTCTTTTCTTCTCTCTAATGAACAGAGAATTACTAGCCTCTAAATCAATCTTTATAACAATAATAATTAGCTAAATGAAAATGGGTCATGTAGGAATGGCCGTTGAAAAGCAAACTTGACCCCAATGTTTATGGCCCATCGGAATCTGCAATCACCACCGAAATAGTTGAACGGGAAATCAGAGGATTCTTTACAGTTGAAGAGGTAGGTTTTATTCTTATACTGTTCTAACATTACATTTCCAGTACAAATAATATTATTGGAGCCCAGCTGCTAGCACTTTCATACTCACACATACCTTAAGTAATAAGTATCTTTGTAGTAAGTATTGATTTTGTATAAAATCTGAAACGTGCTGAGAAGAAAAACGTATGTTGATAACTATTAATTCCATAAGTCTGATGCAGCAATATCATTAATGGGATAATTTCTTTTTTCTCTCTCTAAAATAAATATTAATAATATTTTCTTACTTATATATAATAGCATTTCTCTAAACTAATTATTTCTAACATAAGCAAGTAATTAAATGTGTTTTCATTCTTAACAAACAAATTATAACATAATCTTAACACAAGATATAATTCAAGGGTGGAGATATACAGCATTTTTTCACTTCGAATGTTCTTTTATCCGATTTTTCACAGTGCACTTTTTGGCTAAATCAATTAATCTACCTGAAATGATGGAACTTGAGCAATACAGGCCATAAAACAGAAGAAATTGTTCATACTAGACTACTACGATTTGTTGATGCCATTGGTAAAAGACGTTAGACAACTTGAAGGCACAACACTATATGGATCAAGGGCATTGTTCTTCCTAACCCACGACGGCACATTGAGGCCGCTGGCTATTGAGTTAACTCGGCCACCTATGGACGGAAAGCCACAATGGAAGGAAGTCTTCACCCCTAGCTGGCACTCAACCGGTGTTTGGCTTTGGAGGCTTGCCAAAATTCATGTCCTTGCCCACGACTCTGGCTACCACCAACTTGTTAGTCACTGGTATGAAATTAACAATTAATTAACCTAATAATAAATTAATAATACCTTTTTTCACTTTTAAGATTAACGTTGGATGTTCCTGGAATATTCATGCACGGTGGTTGGGACAATAATAATAATAAGGGACTTATCTATAAATTAAGTGAAGGGTGAAAAATGAATAAATTTTAGTGTGTATGAATAATTTTAAAATTTTTTATTTTCTTATGATTTCTCTTAATGATTAAATGGTGAAACTATTTAAAAAATATATTTTAAAATAACTTATACGTGTACTTCTAATTTGATCTATTAAGTAAGATGTGATTATTAAGAGAATATAAGATCTTTTTAAATATTTTATAATTAGTTTATAAACATATAACTTACAACTTTTTTTAGTATAATTTATAAAAATGATATTTTTTTTTGTATTTTTAGTATACTTATATAAAAAAAATTATTAAATAAACAGTTATCTAAGATGTATATCAAAGTGCATCTAACTAGAGAGATATATATCAAAGCTACAATGTATATAAGTAGCTTTTGAGGAGTTAACTGAGTAACGCATTTCACTTTTCTCCAGGCTAAGAACTCACTGTGCAACGGAACCTTACATCATTGCAACAAACAGGCAACTGAGTGCAATGCATCCAATCTACAGGCTATTGCATCCACATTTCAGGTACACAATGGAGATCAACGCTCTTGCTCGTGAGGCACTAATAAACGCAAACGGAGTAATAGAGAGTGGCTTCACTCCAGGGAAGCTTTCAATCCTCCTAAGTTCAATTGCCTACGACAAACACTGGCAATTCAACTTGCAATCCCTTCCCGCTGATCTCATCAACAGAGGAATGGCTGTGGAAGACCCAAATGCCCCTCATGGCCTAAAACTAACCATAGAAGACTACCCTTATGCCAACGATGGCCTCATCCTTTGGGATAGCCTCAAAGGATGGTTCACTGAATATGTGAACCATTACTACCCAGATTCTAGTCACATTGAGTCAGATAAAGAACTCCAAGCTTGGTGGGAAGAGATTATAACTGTAGGACATGGTGACAAAAAAGATGAACCTTGGTGGCCTAATTTGAAAACCAAAGAAGACCTTATTGAGATAGTTACCACTATTGCATGGACAACTTCAGGGCACCATGCAGCTGTGAATTTTGGACAATTTTCTTTTGCTGGCTATTTCCCTAACAGGCCCACAATTGCAAGAAACAAGATGCCTATAGAGGACCCTTCGGACCCAGAATGGGAACTGTTTTTGCAAAAACCGGAAGTGACTATGCTCAAGTGCTTCCCCTCTCAAATTCAAGCCACTACTGTGATGACAGTGTTGGACATATTGTCGAATCATTCACCTGATGAAGAGTATCTTGGAGAAACTGTGGAGCCAGCTTGGGAGGAGGATCCGATTATTAAAGCTGCGTTTGAAAAGTTTAAGGGAAAGTTGTTAGAACTTGAAGGGGTGATTGATGAGAGGAATGCTGATAGGCGTAGGAGGAACCGAAATGGTGCTGGGGTTGTGCCTTATGAGCTTCTGAAACCAGTTTCTGAGCCTGGAGTCACGGGAAAGGGTGTTCCTTATAGCATCTCTATCTGAACTATATATATATAATGTGAATGTGAGTGTGTACCATAATCATCTCAAATTCACAAATTCAATAACATGCATATGCGTCTACAACAAATAAAATACAATGCATGGTTTGCCCAAATCCTTTCCAGTTTCCAAGTTGATTCATCTCTTGCTAGTTCCTGCTAGCCTCCTTGTAGAGGTGAATTAATAATTATTTATGAATCTAAATTATCTTAAGTATTTTAACAAATAATCCACTTAAGCTTAAAATCTCACTCTATCGTAAAGTTGAATGGAGTTTACATTCAAAATATCAATATGATATATTAGGGCACATGTTAAAAAAAAAACCAAAATTTTAAAAAAGTGGTCAGGCCAAATATATATATATATGTATGTTTGTGTATGTGTGTGTGACATTAAAAAATAAATTCAAGAAAAAGAGTGAAGCACAAATTTAAGTAATGAAAAAAATAAGATTCAAAATAAAAGTTAAAACTTAAAAAAAAAATGCAAGTTAGGGAGAGTATAAAAAGAGTGTCATGAATGCAAATTGCCTATCTCTCCTAGTCTTGGATTAGAAAATTCCTTGCAACTAGGGTTGATTTGGATAAATTTTTAAACTTAAAAAAAAAATTATTTTATGATGATAAAGAGGATTAGTGATACCTGAAATATTTTTTCATTATGTTTTTTATACAACGTTTCTGTTTGCAAGTAATTTAAATATTTAATTATTCTAATTTAAATAAATTTAATTTAAACACATTGATAATGTAAAAAAAATTCACTATTACTTAATTATGGATGATCATATCAATAAAAGTTATTAATTTTTGTAATAATTAATATAAATATTGTATGCATAATATACCTTTTGTCACTCATGTTTGTTTGTTTAGATTTTTGTAGAGCAAAACAATTTTTCTGTTCTGTGGTGTGAATTATAAACATTTGTCATTTCCTACAAATCATATGCAGAGAAACGCAATTCAAGATGAATGTGACAATTGATGGATAGAATGGGGGTGATGGAATCAAGAAAATAAAGGAAAAAAATATTAAATAATGAATTTTTTAGTCACAAAATAAAATATTACATTTTTTTAATAGGGTGAAGAACAATAAATTAACCGCGAAGATATGGAAAATAAATGTCTTGGAGTTGAATTTTTGGAGAAGAGTACGACGGTTGCATGAGAAGTGTCCGGTTAAATTTGGATAAAAGTAATTAACAGTCTTCCAGGTCTACACGCCAAGTACTTTAAATAAATTTATAGAAGAAAAAATAATATAATAAATAAATAATTTTGTATAAATCAAAAATAATTTATTTTCTTAAATTTTAGAAATAAATAAATAAGATACATTTTCAACGAATTAAGAAATATAAGTTATTTTTGACGTGTAAAAATAGTTTTATTCACTTTTATATTAATCTCTTTCTTGAAAAAATATTTATTTATTTATTCTGAAAATTTTACACTGATAAATTAATAGTTGATTATTTAATCATCAAGTCAAATTATTAATAATAATTACTTAATAACTTTATTCTTTTAAACATTGTATTATTATAATTAACACTAACAATTTTTTAAAATTTATATTTAAAAGGTATATGATTAAATTGACAAAGTTTATTTATTTTTTAGAAATATTTCAAAGAGTTGTTAAAAGGAAAAAAAAAGGAAGATTATTTTTTCAAAATAAGATATATTTATATATCATTTAAATTGTGACGTACGTGATCCACGTGAAGAAAAGGACACAACACGAAATACAAACAAACAAGATATTTATAAGTGGTCCAATAACTGAAAGGGATTCCAAATTAAATTTAAGGATATTACATTAAATTATAGTTAAGTTCATTAAATTAAACTCGAGTAGTAATTACTTAGTTTGATAAATAATAAAAAATTAATAAGTTTGCTTATTTAAATAAAGGCTGTAGATAAATAATAAAATGTTCGACGGCTATTACAATAATCAAGTAAGAAAACGAATATTGAATTAATGCTCTTAAGCAAATGATTAATGCAGTTCATTAGTTAGTGAATACGCATATCTAATTTTTAGTATGAGCTTTTTTAATTTATCTTGTAAGGGAAATAACTTTTTTATTTTACGAGATAACTTAACGTAGACTATATATATCCACATACATTAAAAAATGTATTATTATTAATACATGTTTACTTAATAATTACTTAATTTTTTAGAATATTTAATTCGCAACATGATATGATAATAATACAATTTATTGATCTACGGTTTAATTCTTGTCACTCAAGGTCTATTAGAGGGGAGAGTTAGTAAAAGTATAAGTTTTAGGTCTCCTCATTTATAGGGTCTTATTTTCTATTTAAATGGTATAATAATATACATGTGTGCTTAAGAACAAAATTAATCAAGTTTATATTTATTAACTCAATTAAAATATTATATATTAACTATTAATTTTATTCTTTTAAAAAAAATACCAGTTAATTTATAGAAAATGATTAATGTTCGGCTACATATGTTTCTCTTCAAAATAGATTATTCCTTATGTTACTATGCCTATTTCTCTTCAAAAATAAGTGTAAGCCCCTTATCTTCTAAATATATATATATACTTAAAAAAATAAATGTATCATTATATTTTATCTAATTTAAAAATATCATTTTATATAAGTTAGTTCAAATGATAAACAATTCGATATCGCTTAAATAAAATTTTATTTATTATATATAAGTATGCAACTTAAATCAGATTTAGATTAAATCAAATAAAAAAACACAATTTCATTTACTATAAACCTAAATACTTATTAATTCGCTCACTGAAAAGATAAACTTAAAATAATTTAATAAATTATTCTTTTAAAAAAGCATTAATTATAGAGTTCACTTTCAATCTATATAAACATTGAGTTTCCCTGTTATCATCCACGTTTATGCTCCTACTAAATGTCAAATTTCAGCATAAAATAAATGTTTAAAATGCTCTATTTTGTGGCATTAGGCATAAAAGTCAATAGCTGCAGAGTGACTTCAAGACTTATATAACAAATATATAAAAACAAGATTGGTTATTTAGTGTATTTTGGACCATAAAACATAAACAGATCGAAGAGAAAGATGATAAAGCCTCAAGTGTATCAATCACAGCATAACAACCAAACCCTCTTGTTTCTGCAGCGGCCATTACTGCATGCTATTGGTAGTGCTGCTAAAAATTCATCTCTTCCACTATGGTTGGGGAAGACTACACAAAAGTTTAAGCGTCTTGTCCTCAACGTTGAAACTAACTCTACTTCTTCAACCACAACAACAGACACAGATAAGAGTACAGGGAAGAGTACAGTGAAACTAAAAGCCATAATTAAGGTTAAAATAACTGTGGCCGGTTTTTTTTCAAGTTTAAGATTAGACCGAGGAATTGATGATATAAGAGATTTGCTTGGTAAATCTCTTCTCTTGGAGCTTGTTAGTTCGGAACTTGATGCTAGTAAGTATGCATATATACATATTTTCATATATACATGCAACGCACAAAGCATAAGCATGTGCTTATTTATTTGTTTATATATTCTTGACATGATTTGTATCTGTATGTGTTACATATCTGTGTAATGTTTTTCATTTGTTTCCTTTCAGCCTTTTACATATTCGAAGTCCTAACATATCTTCATGAGTGTTCCTCAAAGTCCTACTTTGATTTGTTTTGAATTTAATTTAATTTATGCTTCTTGATTTCTTTTATGATTCCGAATTCTGAACCCCATAACATGAGATTTAATTTCACGATGTGGTTGGAAAATTTACGGAAGATAGTAACAATTTATTTATTAATGAAAATAATTTACACAACTATGAAATCTAAACTTAATTAGGTCCTAAAATTCCTGCTGCCTCATAAAAAAAATATTTGCAGTAAAAATGCCCTAGCTTATCTCTTTAAATTTATTTTTTTGCAACATGAATGTTTGATTTTTCGTACAATAATGCTATTATCACACTCACTTTTTCTTGTATTTTATTTACATAATTTTTTATTACATTATTTATTATCGCATCTGTATTATTTTTCACAAACTTCTTATCTCTCTCACTTACATCCATTCGATACCAGAATGTAAAATTATCATCATTCTTTTTCATATGCATGAAAGACAATGAGGATGAGAGATATACACGTCAAGAAAAAGGTAGCATCTTACCTTCGAAAAGTCGACTTGAAAATGACTTGTACATGGAACTGGCAGAATGAATTTTATGATTGAGTTAGCCGATTAAACTATTAAAATATAGAGTTTTTAATCTAATTTATCTAAACTTATTTTTAATTAATCAAGATTAATTTAATTTTTAAGCATAAAATACGAATTTAAATTAAATTAAAACTTTTGTTTTATTGTTTATATAAAAAATAAACTTTTTAAAAGTGTTTGTTGTAGTATCAGTAAATTTAATAAAATATTTTATATCTTTTTAAATTGACAATTTTTTTTAATATTTTAAAATAAAAAAATATTAATAAATTATTAACTTTATTATTCTATATGTAATTAAATATGACCCGATGGAATTCAAAACTTACACCAAACCGTTAGGGCTTTTTTCTGTCCAACGTTAACCAGACTAGGGTTAGATTCTTCGTTTTGCCAACTCTAGAGTATGCATAGATGGGCCCAAATATGCTTAGTTAATGTGGCAAAGTCGAATCAAACATCATGTCGACCACAAACTCCCTTCAATAGTTACAAATGCATGTGCAAAGGACATGTACCTTTTAGAACTTTTTGTTTTTTTGTTTTTTTTTTCTGTTGCGTTTTGGTCCCTACAATGTAGTTATATTATATATAAACTATTTATGTTCTTTAAAAAATATGATTAATGTGATTTTAATTTTTTATTAATTTTAATCTTTAAGAATTTTTAAAACTAATTTTTATTACACCGTATACTTTTTTTCCCTCTCTTCTTTGTCTTTCTACGTGTAATCAGTTTTTTTTTTTCAACGTTACACACAATTGGTTATATCTACTCAGGCACGTACGTGGGAGTGTATATGTTTTAATAAATTGTAATCAATTGAATAATTGTATATAGAGACGGGATTGGAGAAAGAGACTCTTAAAGCATATGCACACAAAGCAGCACAAAATGAGGAGCGGGGTAAGTATGAAACAGTTTTTGAAGTTCCAAGCGATTTTGGAGAGATTGGTGCAGTTTTGGTTGAGAATGAACATCACAAGGAGATGTTCCTTGAAACCATTCTCCTCGACGGTTTCCCTGAGGGTCCTATTCATTTTGACTGTGCCTCATGGGTTCACTCCAAGTTCGACAATCCCACCAAAAGGGTCTTCTTCACCAACAAGGTACCCACTATACAATAAGTCAATAAAAGTTGCTATGCAATTACGAATACAATTACCATTACTTAATTAGCACCTCTTTAGAACCCTTTGTGTCCAACATGTCACATACCATGAAGTAATTAATTTTATCAACTAAAGATATGATTTTTATAACACCACACCCACCCAGAAATCTGCTAATTTGCACAAATGTGATATTATTGGTATAGTGTTACTTACCGCGGGAGACACCGAATGGTTTAAGAAGATTAAGAGAAGAAGAACTGAGTAATCTGAGAGGGAATGGAGAAGGAGAACGCAAGAGCTTTGAAAGAATATACGATTACGACATATACAACGACATTGGAGATCCTGATAAAAGCCTTGATCTTCAGAGACATCCCTTAGGTGGCAAAGAACGACCTTATCCTAGACGATGTCGAACCGGTCGTCCACACAGTGAAGCAGGTTCTAATTCGTGCTATATTCCCATTATTTTCTAGTGAAACCTTAATAGATACAAGGTTCATTGTCATTCTTATTAATTCATGTATAAAAACAAACTTTAAAGTTGTTATAATCTTGACTACGAATTAAATCTATACTTTATTATCTGAGTTGTATTTTTTTATGTGTAAATATGACAATATGAATAATTAGCGTTTGTTGATACATAGGTTACACACACACAAAAAAAGTGAATAACTAAGAACTGAAGTTTTATATATGATGACTGTGGTGCAGATCCATTGTCTGAAAGACGAAGTAGTAAGTTTTACGTTCCAAGAGATGAGTGCTTCTCAGAGGTGAAGCAGTTAACGTTCTCAACAAAGACATTGCACTCTGTGTTGCTGATATTGCTTCCATCTTTGGGAAAAATTATAAAAGAAAAGGAGCTTCCATTTTCATATTTCCATGACATAGATTCGCTTTTCAGCATTGGACTTGACTTGCCTCCTCAGCATGAAACCGAGAAGGGATTCCTACGAACCATTATGCCCAGACTCGTCAAAAGCATTTCTGGCGAGGGGGGACACGTCCTTCGCTTTGAGACCCCTGAGACTATGAGCAGTCAGATTTCAATTCTTCATTCATTTTGTTCTTCTGTACTTTACTTCCATTTAAATTCAATATGATTCTCAACTGAATTCAATCACCAAAAGTATATATTAAATTCATTATTATATCATTATTTAATATCATTAGAGGGTCCAAATCCATATTTATATAGGTCCTTCCTTGATTATATTGCATAAATCTATGTGTTTTGATTTGCAGGGGATAGATTTTTCTGGTTTAGGGATGAAGAATTTGCTAGACAAACTGTTGCTGGCCTCAACCCATATAGCATACGACTGGTCACAGTATGCATTGTTTTATAAGCATTGATTTGCTTTTTTATATATATATTTTTAGATTTAATATATTTTATCTTTCAAAATATATTTAATTTTAATTTAAATGAAAAATATAAATGCCAAATTCAAACTTCAGTAAGTATTATATCTCGTTAAGGTAATTTACTTTCTTGACAGAAATGGCCATTGAGGAGCAAACTTGACCCTGTTACGTATGGTACAGCAGAATCAGCAATCACCTCAGAAATTATCAATAAAGAGATTGGAGGCGTAATGTCGATAGAAAAGGTGTAAATCATTACTGGGGATTTGAATTATAAAATAGAAATAGAAGGATCGGAAATCATAGACTAGTAGAATAGTAGATATATGATTTTGATATGAAGATGCGTGGTTTTGCAGGCGATTAAAGAAAAAAGGCTGTTCATATTAGACTATCATGACATACTTTTACCGTTTGTTAGCAAAGTACGGAAACTAAAGGGGAGAACACTTTATGGGTCACGAACTTTGTTCTTTCTAAACCCAGAGGGGACACTGAGGCCTCTAGCCATTGAGCTCACTCGACCACCAATTAATGGAAAGCCCCAATGGAAGCAAGTTTTCACACCTTCTTGGCACTCAACCTCTGTTTGGCTCTGGAGGATCGCCAAGGCTCATGTTCTTGCTCATGACTCGGGCTATCACCAACTTGTTAGCCATTGGTATGCAATAATATACCTCAGCAACTACGGTTTAACTTTAAGCTAATGATATTATTTCATCTCCTTTTTATAAGAAATAATTGTAAATATTTGTTATTGTAATTATAAGAAATAGATTTTTTTTATACTTTTGTTTAAAGATTTATATTAATGAAACACTTACCTCTTACCTGTATAAGAGAATATTTTCATTCTGTATAAATCATCAATTTGATCGTTTAATATTTATGGATATTTTTGAAACACAATACAAATTTATGATATAGAATTACTTTTTAATTAGAGTTATATTCATTCTATATTTTCATTGATCTTTGCAAAGAGGGTCCAAATTAACATTAATTTTTTGTCTTGTTTGGTAGGTTAAGAACTCACTGTGTGACAGAGCCCTATGTCATTGCAACCAACAGGCAACTTAGTGTGATGCACCCCGTATACAGATTGCTACATCCTCATTTTCGTTACACAATGGAGATTAATGCTCTAGCACGGGAAGCACTTATTAACGCTGATGGCACAATTGAGAGCTCATTCTCACCAGGAAAGTACTCCATGGCCATTAGTTCTGCTGCCTATGATCTTGAATGGCGGTTTGACACCCAGGCTCTACCTGCAGACCTAATTAGAAGGTACTCTTGGAACACAAACACACAACATAGTAGTGAGAGTGTGAGAACATTTAATCTTAACTATTAAAAAAAAAATAATAGACGGTTAAAATTAACTTCCCCTTTATAGCATTATTTATTAATTAAAATTAGTTTTATTTTAATCAAAATTTATATTTAATATTATTATAAATAAACTATATTTAAGTTTTGTTATTTAATAATAAGTGTAGTGTAGTGAATAACCTTTTATACTTTACAACTTACATGAGTTTGATATATTTTGCTTAACTATTAGGGGAATAGCTGTGGAAGACCCATTTGCTCCACATGGTTTGAGGCTTACCATTAAGGACTATCCTTTTGCAAATGATGGACTACTTCTATGGGATGCTATAAAGCTATGGGTGACTGACTATGTAAACCATTACTACCCTGAACCAAGTCTTGTGGAATTGGATGAAGAGCTGCAAGCATGGTGGACAGAGATTAGAATAGCTGGTCATGCGGACAAAAAAGATGAACCATGGTGGCCAGTTCTAAAAACACCAAAAGACCTTATTGGAATCCTTACTACAATCATATGGATAACTTCTGGTCACCATGCAGCTGTGAACTTTGGACAATATGTTTATGGTGGCTATTTCCCAAATAGGCCTACAATTGCAAGAACTAAGATGCCCTCAGAAGACCCTACAGAAGAAGAGTGGAAAGAGTTCATTGCAAAACCTGAAAGAGCACTTCTAAAGTGCTTTCCTTCACAACTTCAAGCAACTAGAGTCATGGCTGTGTTGGATATACTGTCAACTCATTCACCAGATGAAGAATACATAGGGGAAAAGATGGAACCATCATGGGCTGAAGACCCTGTCATAAAGGCTGCCTTTGATAGATTTAGAGAAAGACTGAACAAACTAGAAGCACTGATTGATGAGAGGAATGAAAATACAAATTTAAAGAACAGAAATGGTGCTGGCATTGTCCCTTATGAGCTTTTGAAGCCTTTCTCAAAGCCAGGTGTGACTGGAATGGGGGTTCCTTGTAGTATATCTATTTAAATTGACAAACAAATATTATCTGTGAGCCTAATGTTATTTTTTAAGACACATTTTATAGACTAAAGTGATATGGGTTTTAAATTAAAGATAAGATGGACATGTAGTCACATAAGCTGGAAATCCAACTAGAACATTCATAAACAAATTGACTAATGTTTCTTGAGGAAATTCTTGAACCAATAAGAATATTTCTATCGATATATTTTTGTTCTTTGTAATCCAAGAATATTAGAAGACTAAACTTAACTAATTTTCAAAAATAACCTTATAGGAAGAGGTTTGCCTAAACTTTATACAAATTATTCTGGTATTATTTTTATTCAATGTGAGACATCATTAATTCTATACCACATTACTGTTTTTTCAACAATGTCCAGAAGTAAATCATCCTTTCACATTTAAACCATCCCTAATATAAACAGGAAACAAAAACACAACACCATGGAAAATTTAATACAATTGTAACACACATACAGTACAAATAATTTAAGAACACAAATTTAAAATTAAAGTTTCTCTTGATTAGTGACCATGTTTTCCATCATATCAATTATCGGGGGATCATCACTCAATAAGTTCATTATTTCTGAAGAAAATTCCTAAACCAATGAGCAGAGAGCTTTTGGTGTCTTGTCAAATTATCTTGGTAATCGACGAAGTTAATTCCAAAACGCAAGGTGTAGCCAGCACTCCATTCAAAGTTGTCCAAAAGTGACCATGCAAAATATCCCTGTACATTCACCCCATCCCTTCGCACAAAAGCCAACAAATAACAATAGAATTAAAATGCATAAAATTAAAATATGAAATATTAAAGAGAGGGTGTTACTCACTTGATTGCAATTGAAATATAATAAAGATGGCGATAGAAGTAATCAATTCTATAAGTATCCATGAGGGCCTCTTCAAGTGATAGTGTTGGATCATTGAACTCGTCCATACCTATAATTTAATTAAAATACGAAAAAAGAAAGTTTATTAGACAGTTGATTTGATTTAGAGGAAAAGAACAAATGCACACAAATACAGTGAATATATATAAATTAGCTCACCTTAGATTATTATCATATATTTTATGTTAAAAAGTAGTGTAAATGGCAAATAAAAAGAACATAATTAAAGTATTACCATTTTCTGTTATGTAAATTGCAGGATTGTTATACTTCATCTTTGTGTACAACAATAATTCTCGAAGTCCCCTTGGATAAACATATAGCCAAGACGAAGCAGCCTATATAAAAAATGGTGTTTCATTGTTTTTCTTCAAATAAATAAATCATAAAATCGAAGCATCTGAATTGAGATATAGCTGTTAATGAGAGTCTTGCATACCCTTGGTCCAATGGGTGTCCCATTACGTTCAGCTGTCATAAGTCATAGAAATTTGTTTTCATCAAAGACTATTTTATTTTTTAAAATACAAAATCAAAGGCATTATCAGAGATTAATTTTCTATCAATGCATTAAGGCATTACAATTTAATTAGTTAGTGCACATTGATTTTCTGTAACTCTTCATTTCTTGGTCATAAATCATGTTGTCCCTGTTTTGCTTTCCCCTTAATTTTACCATTAAGAAAAAAAAGGGTACATAATGTATACTTCATTAAGATTTGTTATCGAGATGTGCTTACTTGTAAAATTAACACGAGTATCTTGGTAATAGTTAGGACTGCTTGTGTTATTAATTGGATTGGGTATATTGGCAGCATAATTAGTGGTGTAGTAATTTAGTCCAATAAAATCAAACGAGCCAATAAGTAGCTTGGCTTGCTCTTTAGTGAAGTTTGGTAATTTGCTTCCCAGTAAAGACTTCATGGTTTTTGGATAGTTTCCTGTGGTTAGTGGTTCCATAAACCTGAAATCAAATCAATTAAGATCATCACACCAACACAAACATATAGAGATAATAAACTAGTACTAGCCTTTACCATCCAAACATGAAATCAAGAGCTCGTTGGGCAGCTTGACGATCTAATGTATCATTTGAAAATGGTATGAACCAGTGACAATTTAATGAGATGCCTATGAAACCATCTTGTGATGCCTGCTCACATTCAAAGTTATAATGTTTTGGATATTCATAATGAAAAACAGAACAAGATGTGTACAACTAACAAATTTGATCATGAGTAGGAAAAATTGAAGGTATATGGTTCTCATGTATTGTACCTGATAATTTGTTTTATAAATCTTGACAGCAGCTGCATGAGCAAGTAGTTGGTAGTGTGAGGTCAGGTAGGGCTCTGAGCCCATACTAAAACTCCATGGCTCATTTAAAGTAATCCAATGTTTCACTCTATCTCCAAATTCCTTGAAGCATAGCTCTGCATAATCTTGGAAATCATTGCTGCACATAGAAAATGTGTGTTCAACACTAATGAAACTTCAATTTATATAAGTAGGCATTGGTTTCAGTGGCAGCTCAAGAGCTTTTAGAGCCTAAAGCAAATTTAAAAATGAGGCTTTTTTTTATTAATAAAATAATTTATTATTATTAATTGAGAATTATAGTTAATTAAATATTATTTGTAATATCAATAAAAAATTAATAATTAAATTAAATATTTGAATTAAAAACATTTTTAAAATTAATTTTTTTTAATTTTTAAAAGTATATTAAAACTAAAAATAAATAAATTTGGGGGACCTAAAGTCCTTGCCTTACTTGCCTGGGCTTTAGCAAGGACTTTAGGCCGCCCTTGTTTATACTTAATTGTTAACACTATAGTTAGCTTGGATGAAAATTTGTGTTGTGTAACTTACATAATATGAGGGTTTAAGAAGCCACCATACTCGTCTTTTAAGGCTTGTGGAAGATCCCAATGGAAAAGCGTCACAAATGGGAGAAGACCTAGATTAATGTCATTCCCATCAATATATTATGATCATTAACATCATGAATATACGATGATATATGAATAAAGATTGGCTTATATTTTACCATTAGCCAGTAGCTCGTTGATGAGGTTGTTGTAATATTTGATTCCTTCTTGGTTTATACCCCCGCTTATTTTTCCTTCTGCAAATTTATCAGAATGGTTAATTAAATAAAAGATTCAATTAGCTAAAACTTGTAAGGATGAAACTAAATCGAACATTTACTTACTTGGCAATATCCTTGACCAAGAGATGGAGAATCTGTAAGCATCTGTATTCATATACTTCATGATCCCAACATCTTCCTATTAACATGTTGACATGTAAGATGGTTAACATATTCGATGAAAGATAGTGAACAAAAAAGTATGATCTCCACGAAGGTATTCACATCATGACCTTTTATTCTCCTATGTAAATTATATCACATAAAAGTAAGAGTACTAATGCTATGTTGTTCAGAGTAATTCTTGCATGAGATTGTGCTTATTAGACACAATCAATTAAAAATTCAACAAATTATAGCAAGGACTTTGTCATCTTTATAGTTATTACTTTGATGTGTATTAAATATTTTGTTGACTGTGCCTAATAGACACTGTATTCATATCAGAATTGCCCTACTGTTTAAATCATGTCATCAATTTGGATTTAACAAACGACTTTTGGTTATACTCATTGATCTCACTCTCCATTATCAATAACCAATCTTGCTAAAGCAGTAAAGTAAAAGTTTATGAATGACAGTACCATATATCTAACACATGATAAAAGACACGTGTGATGATTTATTAATGGGATATTATGTCTCTAACATGCTCCTTAGCACGGAAACTCTTGAATACTTTTGTTCAGTAGAAGTTGAAGAATGTCAATCATTATATGAATCACTTATATTGATAATCAGCTCTCCACACAGTTAATTTCATGAACAGAAATTAAACCAAAGTAACCTATATACAAATATTAGAATGATATAAAATTTACAGGATAGAGAGAGTGCTGAACAAATTTCAATATCGATTTGGATCATACCTTATAGCGATGATACTGATCAACAGCTACATCTCCATTGCTCCTATCGGATATTATTTCTGTTTGCAATTACACCAATTACTACATGAAAAACATGTACTATGACCACTGCCATTACCCACTGGAAGCGGAATTACGATTATCAAATCAATATATTGATTGATGCTTCAGTTTCCACTCTGGATATTTTTCAATTAATTTTTTATTTTCACTTACTACACTAAGGCACAATACACATCTCTGAGTTGCTGGACCAAATCAATGTAGCCACAACTACAAAAAGTTTTTATGTTGTCAACATAATTATTAAAAAAAAAACAGATAAATCAAACATCATTTATCATTCTTCCAAATCATTCGCACCAATTTGAGACAGTATACTTAGTAGTTGTTTGGGAAGCTTTAATATTTTTGAAATAAAATATATAAATTGACTTACTCATTTATCATTATAAAGAATATATATATATATAAGTTTTTAATTTAAAATTAAAAAATATGTCAATCTCCTCTCTTCTCCTCCAAAATCTCTCCCCCAAATGTACCTTTAAAGAAAGTGTGTATAAATAAAAATACCTGGATGTTTATGAGTTAAGGTATCCCATATACTTGGTCCTCTGCCACCTTGATTTGCAGCACCTTCATACTACATCATCAACACAAAAATAATTATACCATACATATTTAACTCCTATAAGCCTGACCTTAGAATGATAATGTCAATAATGAAAATGTGAATCACAAGATCTCTCTCCTTCACCTACACATATACATACACATTAATACGCACCTGGTAGGAAGAGGAGGCAGTTCCAAAGATGAAACCTGGCGGAAAGCTGGTGCGATTTAGAGAAGAAACATCAAGAACAGGAGCAACAGCTTCAGTGATTGTAAAGGAGGTGCAAATGACAAGAGTGAAGAAGACAGCAAAGTGGAAGAGATATAGGTAGCCAATGAATGCCATAGCCATATATGTTATGTATAACTATGATTCTGCTTAATTATAAATCATGTGCATAAGAAAACTACAACCACAACATGAGGAGAGAATACTATATATATATATAGAAAGAAATAAGAGAGATGTTGACAATTGGAGTGGCTTGCATGACTTGGGTACCATGCCTTGGCAGTATTTGAGTGATCTCGAATCTTGATGAAATGCTTTACTTGTTTATTTGGAAAATGACATTCATATCATTGTTACAAGCTAACCAATATTTTAAAACAACATGAAGTTAAACTGATCCGAGTAAAGCATCTTTTCAGTTTAATTATATTTTCAAAACTTGATGTTATATTAACATAGCAAACATAAAATTTTGTTAGTTATATCTAACTGAACAAAATTTTGAAAGCGTAACTTAACTCATTGATGTGAAAACGGTTCATAAAAAGTATTAATGCTAATATATACATGTGTACTGTTAAAACATCATAAAGAAGTTTTAGTGCAAAATAAATGTACGAGCCAAACTCCATATGCTGGTGGAACTCATGCTCCACTTCAAAAGTTGGGGTTGGCAAAAGTGTCTTATTAATTGCAGCTTAATGTTTGGAGAATAAACGTAATGTGATATTGTGAGTTTAAATTCAGGTTTTCCAAGAAGAAACAGATAATTCCTTTCCTAGTCAAGAAAATCACATTCATCGGGTAAAATAAAAGTTATATAAAATTAAGTGTATATATACTTAGTTTTATATAAATTTTGTTAACACCAGTTTTTAAATTAATTTAAATATCTAAAAATGGTAAAAAAATTATTTACAAATTACTATTGTATAAAAACATACAAATATGTATTAACATTTTTTATTAACTTATTTTTAAAAATAATTTTTTTATAACATCATGGACAATTTAAAAAACTATTTATTTAAAATAAGAAACAAAGTATAAATTAGTTTTGCGACAAATTTTTAAATGTATAATGAAGTTATATATAATAAATTTTTATTAAAAACGATAGGTATGAACATATTAAATTATATTTTATGTTGCATGTGTTAATAAAAAATGATTTTGTAAATTTAAAAATACAAAACACAGACTGGCAGTGGGTAGCAGAGAAAGTGAAGTCTTGGATATTACTATTCTATAAATCTGATAAAGATTTGATACATTGAAAATTCAACGCACATTAAAAAAAAATAAAAAATCATTCGTACTAGCATGAGGCCATCACTCATAATTAATTGATTTCATCGAAGAAAAGGAGCTGCTTTACTAAACCCGAAAGAGGATCTGAATCCTATGCAGTTCTAGCAGGAACTGCGTCGTCCCGCAGTGCTTTAAGTAAATTTAATAAAAAGTGATTTGGTTTAAGTTAAAATAATTTATTTAAATAAATTTAGTAAAAAAGTAAATTTTTGTTTAAACTAAAAAAATTATTTAAGTTAAAATTATAAAAAAATTTAAAATTTTATCTTTTTATTTTTTAAATTACACAAAATTTGAGAAACATTTATTTCTCACCAATGACTACTTAATTATTAATGATTACTTTTACATATTTTATACTACTAAATATTGTCAATATATTGTCTAGTATGCTATTTGTGCTAAAAATTAGTGAGATAAAACTATTTAAAATTAAGTTAAATTGTTGAGAATGGTAATAAAAATTATAGAAATGATAACTTTCAGAAATTAGTTGAAAAATAGTTACATTATTACATGTTTTAAAACACATAAGTTTTTGTATTATGACTATAAAGTGTGTCTACATGATCTTGCACAAATATTTTTAAATGTATTATCTAGTGTGCTAAATATTAGTCAGGTAGAACAATTTAGAATTAAGTTAAATTGTTGAGAATGATGATAAAGATTATAAGAATGATAACTTCAGTTGAGAAATAGTTGTAATATTCCATGTTTAGAAACACTTAAGTTTTTTATGTATGATCATAAAGTATGAACACATAATCTTGCACAAATATTTTACAACTTTTATGTAGTTTAAAGAGGAAGAAGATGAAGTTTTAAAATTTTTTGTAATTTTGGCTTAAGCGAATTTTTTGGTTTAAGCAAAAATTACTTTTTTTTTATTAAATTCGATTAAGTGAATTTTTTTAGCTTAAATGAAAATCTGCAGGGTGTAGTTTTTGCCAAAACTGCAAAGGATTTGAATCCACCCGAAATAAGAGAATCATCATGTTACAAGCCCACTTAAGATCTAGTAACGAGTCTATTTGCAGAAAGAGTTGATGTTCAGGTTTATTGTTAAAACTAATTTTTTTTGGATTTCATTTCTTGTTTACTTATTGTAGAAAATGTTTAAGGGCTTGTTAAAGAGAATCCTTTAATCCTATGCCCTTAATTTTTGTGAAGAAAAAACTAACCCTTTCTTCATTTTCTCAATCCTTTATATATTCAAACTTACATAAAAAATAAAATAACTGCTTAAAATCTATCTCCTTACTAATAGCACACACTGTAATATTAATTCAAACATATAACTGACACAATTATAATTAAACAACTAATTAATATATAATAAATTCTAATCTTATTTGTTGTGCTTCTTGTAAGTGACGAGGACTGAAGATTACCGTTGCTACTTGTCCGTAACATTACTCCCCTTCTCCAAAGACTGCTTGTCCGCAAGCAGGAAGGATGGATAACGCTGCTGCATCTGATGGACATCCTCCCAAGAAGCATCAGCAGGTGAAAGACCCTCCCAATGAATAAGCACTTGATCAAGTCCTTTATAGAATCGACGATCTAACACTGCTTGAGGACTTCCCCTTGATGAACCAAAGGCAGGGAAGAGGATATTTCATCATTGTTGTTGCCATAATATTTCTTGAGACAAGAAACATAGAAAACAGAGTGAATTTTGGCGTCAGTAGGCAAGTCCAATTTATAAGCAACAGAACCAATGCAGGCAGCCACTCGATAAGGCCCATAGAACTTAGGAGATAATTTCCTATTGCTTCGAAGCTGTAAAGCAATTTGACGATAAGGCTGGAGTTTTAATAACACCAAATCACCCACTTGAAATTGGACATCATGATGAGAAGCATCATACACAGATTTCTTATGTGCTTGTGCTTGCTACAGGTGATCCTTCAAGTCATGCAAAACCATGTCCCTATCTTTAAGAGCCACATCCACAGCTTCCAAACAAGATGAACCAGGACAATAAGCAAGTAATTTTGGAGGAGGTTTGCCATACACAACCTCAGCCCAAGATATCCAGTCCAACCATTTTTTTGGTTTGTCACTGATGAAGCACCTTAAATACATTTCCACTCTGCGATTTACTACTTTCGTTTGACCATCTATTTGAGGGTGATGAGAGGAGTTAAAATACAATTTAGTCCCACTAAGCTTAAACAATTTAGTCCAAAACTTACTTGTAAACGTAACATCTAGATCACACACCACCGTTTCTGGTAAACCATGAAGCTTAAAGATGTTGTCAAAAAATGCCCGAGCCACCAAAACAGTGGAATAAGGATGCGCTAATGGGATAAAGTGAGCATATTTAGAAAAACGATCTACAACCACAAACAAGACGGATTTACCATATGATAAAGGTAATCCATCAATAAAATCCATTGAAATATCAGCCCATATGTGAACAGAAACAAGTAAAGGTTGTAAAACACCGGCTGGATGTAGATGTTCAGATTTATGTCGTTGACATATGGTACAGGCGCGAACAAAATCTTGAACATACTGCTTCATCCCTTTCCAATTAAAATCAGCCGCCACTCATTTTAAAGTTTCTGATATACTTCATGCCCCTGGTTGTGAAGAGCAGACACAATAGTTTGGACAATAGAAGAATCAGGAAGAAGGAAAACCTGATTCTTGAAAAATAATAACCCATCATGCAGCTTCGAAGGTCCAATTGCTTCACCAGATTGGATCTGTTGTGCTAATTGTTGAAGTTCCAAGGAAGAAGCATTAAGGGAATGGATCTCATCAAAGAACTGTAGTTGAGGCATGGGAATAGTAGACAAGAAACCATCTTCCTCATTTTGACGTGATAAAGCATCAGCAACAATATTCTCACGGCCAACTCGGTATTCCCCCATCAAATCAAATCCCAAAAGTTTACTTAACCAATGCTGTTGTGGTGAAGTCCCAATACGCTGTTCAAGCAAGAATTTTAGGCTATAATGGTCCGTCCGAACCACAAAAGAATGACCCAATAAATAAGGACGCCAATGCCTCACTACCTTGGCCAACCCAATCAACTCTTTCTCATAAGCAGGTAAGCGATGATGGCGAATGGCAAACAAACGGCTAAAATATGCAATTGGGCGCCCATTTTGCTCTAGAACAGCCCCTAAACTAGTATCAGAAGCATCACATTCAATAACAAAAGGAACTGTAAAGTAAGGCAAAGCCAAAACTAGGGTTGTCGTCATAGCTAACTTCAATTTTTCAAAGGCAATGGTGGCATCAGCAGTCCAATGAAAAGAATTCTTTCTAAGCATGGCAGTTAAAGGAGCAGCAATACTACTATAATTTTGAACAATCTTGTAAACCATGCACAAATGGTGAAGATGCTTTGCCTAAGTACTACTGTAAATTAAGATATCATCAAAACAAACTAAGACAAATTTACACAAATATTGTTGAAACACATCATTCATCAATGCCTGAAAAGTAGAGGGGAAATTGATTAGCCCAAAAGGCATAACCAAAAATTCAAAATGGCCATAATGTGTTCGAAAGGCTGTTTTTGCAACATCATCTAGAGACATATGAATTTGATGATAGCCAGAGAGCGTAAGTCCAATTTAGTGAAATACTTGGCACTACGAAGTTCTTCCAATAATTCATCAATCATAGGAATAGGAAACTTATCCTTGACAGTTTTTGAATTCAAAGCTTTGTAATATACACAAAAATGCCAACTATCATCAGCCTTTTTAACCAATAACGCCGGAGAAGAAAATGGAGACTGATTTGGCCGAATAATGCCTTTGGCAAGCATGTTTGCACATTGCTTCTCAATTTCATCCTTTTGGAGATGAGGATAGCGGTAGGGTCAGACCACTATGGGATTAGTACCTGTCTTCAACACAATTTGATGATCACAAGAACGGGTAGGTGGTAACCTGCTGGGCTTTTAAAAAATATGGGTAAATTCTGCCAATAGTTTTTTAATTTGGATCTCTTTATCTAGATCATCCATAGTTTCTGTTTGATGAAATAAGGGAGTTGTAGACTCCTTATTGCCATGTAACTCTATAAATTGGCCAAAACTGAAAAACCTCATCCATAAGGCAGTAAAATCCCACTCAATGGGCCCCAAGGACTGAAGCCAATTAACTTCAAGCACTACACCAAAACAACCAAGAGAGAGTAATAAGAGATCCACGTGGAACAAGTTATTCTGTAGATAAAGTGGAACACCTATACAAAGACCAGAGAACACATCTTTTTGCCATTAGCCACTGTAACTTTGAGTTCATCTTTGGGTTGTATAGCCAAGCCTTATTTATCCAGCAAAGAAACATCCAGAAAGCTATGGGTACTTCCGGAATCTATCAACACCAACACCGGATAGCCCTTGATAAATCCTTTAATTTGCATAGTTTGAGATTGTTGCGCTTCTGTAATAGCATGAAGAGATATGGCATGTTCCACCATGTCCTCTAAATTCCCTGGTTTAGCAGTGTCGATAGTGAAGTCCTCCATGCCTTCTATCCAGAATAGCCTTTTACACCTATGCCCAGGAGAATAAGTTTCATCGCAATTATAACAGAGGTTCTTGGCTCTTTGCTCCTCCATCTCGGCTCTACTCAATCATTTAATGAATTGTGGTTTTGAGGAAGTAACCGCTGAGGTTCGGCTAACATTATAAGATGTCGTCGTTATGCCTGAAGTAAAAGATTTCTTCTCATTCCCTTTGCACTCATATAGACTAGCCAAACTCATGGCACTTGTCAGATCTGCCGGACAGTGCAATTCAACCTCCACTGCAATATACTCGTGAAGGCCACTTAAAAAAAAAAATTCACTTCTTGTTCAAAGGTCAAAGAACTAGCCCGTGCAAATAACTGTTCAAATTTGTGCTGGTAGTCTTTCACAGATCCAGTCTGCCTTAATTTTGCCAATTCACCCAATTTATAGCCATGAATAGAGGGTCCAAAGCAGAGATTGCACTGGGTTTTAAATTCCTCCCAAGACAACTGTGGACGATCCTTATCCAACTTTAGAAACCATAACTGAGCATCATCGTCCAAATGTATGGCCACCAAGGCAATCTTTTCTGTATCCGGGGTGCGTTGATGGCAGAAAAAATGTTCACAGCAACGAATCCAAGTTAAAGGTGTTGGGGAAAACCAAACACAAGAACACAATTATCTAAAGTAAGCAGCGAAAACAATTCCCCAAACTTGCAAGAACCTGTGAGGAGCAACAACAATAACAAATGGCAGCAACAAACACAAGGACACAGAGAATTATTTACGTGGGAAAACCCTCTCAATGTGAGAAGTAAAAACTCACGGGTTCAAGCCAGTCAATCAAGCTCCACTATAATCAAATGAAGTTACAAAAGAGTCTCAAAATACTGCACAAATTTGTGCAAACAACCAGCTAATACAACCAAGCAATAAAGCCTAACCAAAGAGAGAAAATCTCACAAAACAGGGCTGTTGTTCAGACACGATTTCTCTCTGCCAAAACCTCCAATAGGCGATCAGAACGAAGAACTATACGTCTAGGAACTTCTGTCAAAGTTTCAGCTTAATCCAACGGTTGAATAAGGAGAAATAACGATTTCTCTGCGGCTGGTTTGTGCAGAGTCACCAAAAACAGGACTTCTGTGCGAAGACAATATCTCCAACTTTGGACCTCCAATCGACAATCTGAACGGTCAGAACGAAGAGCACCGTGTTATGAACCTGCTGTAAAATTTTCAGCCTGATCCAACGGCGATCGAATCAGATATCGAAGGAATTAAGTAGCTGGTCAGGAGCTTCTTTCTTCTCTTACTTCCCCTTCTTTCTTTTTGATGTCTCTATGCGAAAATATACACACTAGGCTGCGAAAAAAATACTCCAATCTAGACTTCTCTCACCCACTCTTCTGACTTCTCACTCTCCTCAATTAAGTGTAGAAAATGAGCTTGAAAATTTAGACTTTTTGGACACATAGTTGGGAGTCCAACCCAACAAAAGGATCGCTATCCCCCTTGTAACGCGGAAATTCGAGTTTAGAAAATCTAGGGGCATAATTTTCATGTTCAGCATTGTCATCAACGGATTGACGCTCTCAAAAAGCACGATTATTAGTGTCAGAGCCTTCTGTTCTTGACGTTGCCACTTCTCAGGCAACCTCATGCAATTGGGTGAGAAGTTCTTGTTGTTCCCTTTCGCGGTTAGCTCGATCACTCGCCCGACCTTCCTTATATAAAGTCAGTAAGGCTTCAAATTGTTGCTGCAAACTTCATGATTGATCAGCCATCACTAACCTCCTTGATACCAATTTGTTACAGGCCCCACTTAAGAATCTAATAATGAGTCTATTTGCAGAAGAGTTGATGTCTGAGTTTATTGTTAAAACTGATTTTTTGGATTTCTTTCCTTGTTTACCTATTATGGAAAATATTTAAGAGCTCGTTAGAGAGAACCCTTTGATCTCATGCACTTAATTTTTGTGAAGAAAAAAACCAAGCCCTTCTTCATTTTCTCTATCCTTTAAATATTCAAACTTACATCAGAAATAAATAACTACTTAAGAATTGTCTCCTTACTAATAGCACACATTGTATACTAATTCAAACATATAACTGATACAACTATAACTGAAAATAATTAATTAATACATAATAAATTCTAATCCTATGCCTCTTGTATGTGATGAGTACCGAAGATTGTTGTTGCTACTTCTCCATATGTGATGAGAACAGAGTAATACTACTTACCAGTATCACACTATTTATAAACAATTTTTATCATTAATTAAAGTTTATTAAAAATTATAAAAAAAATTAAGTAAAGCTCACTCTTTCTTATGTTTCTCTGATACTAATCAATAGTAAAAAATACGTTAAAAAGTACGCTAACAGTGCATTCTCTAACACTTTTTGAAACACACTATCATGCTGAACATATATGTCTAATTATGATTTACTGAGAAAGTTTTTGAACCAATGTGCGGAGAGTTTGGGATATCTTTTCAAGCCATCTTTGAAATCCACAAAGACCAATCCGAATCGCACGGTATAGCCTGAGTCCCATTCCAAGTTATCCAGCAACGACCATACAAAATATCCCTTCACATTCACACCATCCCTTCATAAAAGTCAACAAAAACAAAAGAATTAACCAAAAATGTGTCTCCAGTTCCATTACTTAAGCAATTAAAAATTAATATTGTATGTAACTTCTATAATTTTCAATGCAGTCTAATGTAATTTTTGATAAAAAAAATTTAATTTTTAATTTCTTAACCAGTGCTCTAGAAGCACTTGTCAGCAAGACCTTAATTATTTTTAATGAAAAGGGAGAAAAACTCACTGTTATAAGTGAATTAGGAGAAGATAAGGGTATGTTAGTTATTAAAAGATAAGATTAGATTAGTTATTAGAAGAGTTATTAAAAGATAAGATTAGATTAGTTATTAGAAAATAATGATAGATTTAGTTGTTAAGAAATATGAGTTATAAATAAGACCCAAATGTAATCAAAGAAGATTATGAATAATACAATTTCATTAGAGTTTTCCTCTTTAACTCTCGTGTGAGATTAAGAGTGAGTGACGTTAGAAGAGAAGTTTATTTCTCTTTTAACACTCACCTTCCTTTTCTCCCCTTTTCCCATAACAGGTAAATGTAGAAAATATGAAGCACAAACATAGGAATAGTATTACAGTGAATGCATAAAACAAATCAATACATAGAAAGAGGTTTAGAGGCTCTTATGACAAACCATTACTTACTTGATTGCAGTTTCAAGATAATAAAGATGACGATATAAGTAATCAACCCTGTAAGTATCTATAAGGCTTTCTTCAAGTGATAGTGTTGGATCGCTGTATTCATCATAACCTATCAAACAATTTTGTTACATTTTCATTAGCTTTGTTGATATCAGTGATGCATATAATATATCTGAGAAAAGAAGAAAATAGTATGGCTGATGTATTACCATTTTCAGTAATGTAAATTACGGGGTTGTTGTAATACTTCTTGATGAAAAGCAATAGTTGTCGAAATCCTCGTGGATAAATGCATAACCAATCAGAAGCAGCCTGCATATAATTATATTATAAATAGCGTTCGCTTAATGTTTTCCACATAATCTTTTGTAGTAATAAAAAAGTACAAATGAAATGCATTGATATGTATGTAACTGTCAATGAAATGATGAAACACATACCATTGGACCAAGGGGCTTGCCATCATGCTGATCTGTCATTGAAAAATAAAAAACCATGCTTTCATGAATTCATGTATAATTCACAGTAACTACAGTAAGTTTGCTTTCAATTATGTTAGGCTAATCTTTAGAGATAAGGAAACTAGTGCAGACATATAAAAACTTGATAATTACTTGTAAAATTCACAAGACCATCAGTTTGTAGGGCTGGTCTAGCACCATGTTGATGAGGTGCATAGGCAGCATATGAGGATGAGTAGTAGTTTAGGCCCAGAAAATCAAACGACCCCTTAAGTTGCTTGGCTTCTTCTTTGGAGAACTTTGGTAACCGGTTTCCCACCAGAGATTGCATGCTTTTGGGATACTCACCTTTTGTGAGCGGATCCATGTACCTAACCCAAAATGCAAAATTGCAGATGCTATCAACAAGATATGCTGAAACACTTTTAATTTCAAAAAACCTTGAACATATGGCACATCACTCACTACATTTGGATCCAGCTGGTTAGACTTTATTGTGTTTCTTTTTAGTTCAAGTGGAATCAATTGAATTCATACGTAATTTACCTTCAATTTTATACAGGTTTCTGAGAAGACATATAGTTCGTATAAAACACACAAATCACTCCATATAAAAAGAGCATCCTCGCACCAATCTAAGAGGTATCATCTACTAATAGCGATCAAATGGGGGATACTTACAGTCACATTTAGATCACATAACTGCACAGATATATAATATTGTTCATTTGTTCCACAGTCTTCATACTAAATGGAGTGGTATACCAATAATCACGCCATGATCATATTTTCAAAAATTAATATTATATTTCTGTCAGTATTCCTTCCCTTTAAGAAATGAATAGTTGAGTATAACCTTTACCATCCAAACATGAAGTCAAGGCCTCGTCGTGCAGCATCATAATCTGATTTCTTTTCAGAGATTGGCACATACCAGTCAGAATTCAAGGTAATCCCAATTAAACCGTTTTGAGATGCCTGCATACACATGTTCAATTGTTTTGGTTATTTAATTAATAACAGCATTCGATTAGTTCATAGGAAAATAAAGCATGGTTCTTCCCCAAAAGAAATTATGCGTGGCTCTACTCTTCGACTCCTTTAAAAAAGTTCCAACTCTCATGCAAATGTTAATTAAATTTCAGGACATACACATTTATTGCAGAGTTTTAAAAGCTTTTTTTTTTTTTATTTAGAAAAGAAAATTTCAAGAATATAGAAAACCTGGTACTTGGTCTTATACAGTTTGGCAGCAGCAGCATGAGCAAGAAGCTGATAATGAGAAGTCAAATATGGTTCTGTTCCTGAATCACCGCCTGTGCAATTCCGTTTTAACCAATCAGAACATCGACCTGGTGCAAACCTGCCATTTGCGTAGCCATTCTTGCTCACACTCCTTGGTTCATTCAAAGTAATCCAATGTTTCACCCTATCACCAAATTCCTTGAAGCAAAGTTCAGCGTAGTCTCTAAAATCATCTCTGCATGTTCATATGAATTTTGTATGTTTATGAGTTAAAACTAGACTTCCTAAAAACTTCTCAATATTCACACACACACACCCACACAACACACACACACATTTAAGGTGGAAATTGGTGTCACTCACACAATGTGAGGGCTTAAAAAACCGCCATACTCATCCTCTAAGGCTTGGGGAACATCCCAATGAAAAATGGTCACATATGGTTGCAGACCTGCATTATTCACAATGATTATGTATAATTGACAATCGTATGGATATGATACCAATGCAACGTAATAGCTAAATAAATAAATATTAATGCATTGTGACCATTAGCCATTAACTCGTTGATAAGGTTGTTGTAATACTTTATTCCTTCATGGTTTACACCTGCACTAAGCTTTCCTTCTGCAAACATTGGTAAGGAATTGATAATGGTTACAATGAAACACCAACAAAGAAAACAATTATCCGAGCTGGAATATCAACAAAAATTTTTACTTACTTGGTAGAACTCGAGACCAAGAAACGGAGAATCTATAAGCATCCAAATTCATGTTCTTCATTATTCCAATATCTTCCTAAAATATGTGTACCAGTCTATCATGACTTAACTCATGTCTTTTTATATATTTGTATAAAAATTGCCTACTAATACCACAATTTGGACCATACCTTATACCGATGATATGAGTCGTCGGCTATATCTCCATTACCTCCATCTTTTATTTTTTCTGCATGCCATTTTGTTGATAAATAAGTAGAAAGTATACATGTAACTAAGTAATTTATAGTTGAATCACACGACATAGCTCATTTGATCCACGCTAACATATGCCAAAGTTGCATCCATAGACCCAAAATATATAGTGCAGAAGCAATCTAACAGAAGCTACTTTATGCTCAAAGTGATCCTTGAACATGATCCATCACTAAATATATCATATGAGGAAAGCTACTAAGTTGCACAAAAGTGAAGAGAACTTGCAGGATCTCACATACAGAAAGAGGGTACCTCTTCCAACTCTGCTATTCAAGGCAAAGAACCTAGAATAATAAAACACATACTATTTTATTGGAAAATCGTTCATGAACAATTAAAGGTTATTTTTTTATTTCCGAGAATATTTTTAAAACATATGCATACAAATAGATAAAAAAATATGTATATAAATATTAATCTTTAAAAATTTAGAGAAAAATATTAAATTTAAACAATTAGTAAGGATAAGATTTCATTAAAAAATGTTTATTATATTTTAATAAAAATAACTATTTTTATATACTTAAATTTTAAAAACAATATATTTTTTTTAAATTACATATATCTTTTGACAAAGTTCTTCTTCCTCCAACAAGAGAGAAAGAGAGATACCAGGGTACTTATGAGTGAAGGTATCCCATATACTTGGTCCTCTTCCACCTTCCCTAGCAGCACCTTCATACTATAAATTCAAAAAACATGAACCCCTAAACTGATATTAAGAACAATAACCAAATTAAAAGATAGTTCAAATTAATAATAATAAGATATAAAATGTAACCTGGTATGCTGAGGATGCTGTCCCGAAAATAAAGCCCTGCGGGAAACTGCTTCGGTTGAGATACGAAACGACAACCTGGGAATGAGTAACGGCGATGGACAAGGTCACAAAATGAGAGAAAACGAAAAACAGCGGAAACATGTTGAAACTCAAGGCCATCATTATAATTGACGAAATACAGTTAAGGTAAGTGATTGTGCTCTATCACTTATCGCTTCGCATTATCTAGTTTTATTGTCAATTGGAGTAAAAAAAGAGTGCTTGTCGTTTATTTCGGGAAATTTTTATTATGAAGATCTTCGTTCCGTTTTGTTTCGATCCGAAAACATGGATAAGGCGAAGATCACTTTTTGACGCGTTCGAATTTCGAACTTCTCTCAGCAACTTGAATCAGAGTTTCCACTACCAAATACCAATCAATGATTGTCCAATGTCATCAGTGACTACACTTTCTTTTTTCTTTTAACCATCTATGGTTCTTTTTAATTATATTACGATTACTTTGAGAATTAGGAGAAAAGTATAATGGCAATACTTATTCATATTTTTATTTTTTATTTTTTTAACTAATATCTTAACTAAATTTATTAGGTTTTTATTAAATTAAATATTGATTTTGTTAATGTTAATTTTAGGGTTTTAAAATATAAAAGTAATACACATTTACTTTTGAATAATATTAATCCAGGAATAAAACAGCAACCTTCGAAGGCTTTTGAATAATATTAGTAATACGCATTTTTTTCTTCAATATAGATTTATGCATAAAATCATATTAAATTCGATGCATTTATTATTTTAATTTAAACCTGACTAAGAATTTTTATTAAGAATATAGCTTTAAAGTTCATTTTTTGTTGAATATTTTTTTAGTTTCTATTTTTATTTTTTTTTATAATATGGTTTAATTTTTAATATTTGTAATATATAATCACTTTTTACTAATGTGATATGTACAAACTTTGTTTCAAGTGTGCGCGCATACAAGCCCATGTATACAAACGTATTCAGAAGAAGTAGGATAAGAAAGTGGCAGAGTGCCTACATTGTTTAGTAGGAAAAAAAAATAATGAAATTAAAAAATATGTTGAAAAATTAAAAGAAAAAATAAGTTAGAAAAGTAAATCTAATACAGGTAAGTGAGACCAATCTATAAATTGAACTCAAGTATGATCGAAAAAATTTTACATTAAATAAATTTTTTTTTTACTAATATACAAATAATAAATGCCTATAATTTAATTATCTTAATATTTAAATTAAAATTAATATCTAAATCTATTTATATAATTGCTCATTATTTATTATTATAAATCTTCTCAGTATCTTAAATCCCTATGCACCTCAGTCTAACATAACATTTAACCTAGTTATAGTATTAGATAATTAACACTTAACGGTGCAACACAGAGTTTTAAACATTCTTAAATTGCCTTCAATATTATTTCTTATTATTAACATTTTTTTTAAAATGTTTCACATTTATTTAAACTTTGTATACGTTTTTGTTCGAAACTTCAGTTTGATTTCACTTTCTTATTACTTTATTTGCTTTTTATTCGATTTCTTGTTTATTCTTATTTGTGTTTTTCTTAATGTTATTAGAAGTAGCTCAAAACAGGGTAGTTTGAATAGTGATTCAAAAATGTAAAGCAAAAGTAAAGACCAATGCACCAAAAATTGATACAAAAGTTAGATGAATAATGTTAGTAAGAAATTATTTAATATATTTTTATAATATATTTTATTAATTAAAATTTATTAAAAATTATAAAATTATGTGGGTTTTATTTTTTTTCACTTCTAAATTAATATTTTTTTCTGGTATTAAACAACAGTCTATGAGAAGTACAGGTGAGCACCAGAGACAAATGAAATGCCAGAGACCTATTTCTTTTCTTTTGTTTCTAATTTTAATTTTTTTCATTTAAAATAAGTTGACTTAAATCTCCTTCAAATAAAATATATTTTTTTCCTTAAAATTTTAGTGTACAATTCTAGTATATATTGTTTCTAACAAAAAGTTAGAATGTATTAACAAATCTCATGTTTAAAAATTTAAGGTACACATATATGTTAATATAAATGTTTAAAGAATAAAGTATAAACAAAAAAACATTTATATTAAAAGAATCAAAATTAAAATTGTAAAAACGTGCAAGGATGGAATGTAAATATTTAAAATTAGAAATTAATTTTTTTACAATTTTAATTATTTTAGATTCAATCCTCACACATTCTTAATTGTTAAAGTTAAGCTCTTCACCATAGATTTTATGTAATAATTAACGATAATATGACAAAGGTATAACGTGACTTTGAATTGTATAATAGCAAAGGAAAATAAATAGTTAAATATCTTAGAATGATGCTTCCAAAATTCGAATTATGAGTCATGGTATATTTATATACTATGACCAACCATACTTGAATATATCATTACTTATTTTGAATAAAAACTCTAATTATTGAAACCGAAATTGCGTCTTTATTCGAACTTCTCTGATAATCAAAATGATACATGAAGCATCATACTTTTATTTATGGCAGTTGTTACAAGGCACTTGTTATTACAACTTGCACTTGGAATGAACTAAACACAGTTGAGCTTAGTTCTAATTCCTTTTGAGAAAGTTCTTGTACCATAGAGCAGAAAGCTTGGGATACCTTTTCAACCCATCCTTGTAATCTATGTAGTTCAATCCAAAGCGAACAGTGTAGCCAGCAAAAAATTCATAATCGTCCAAAAATGACCATGCAAAATATCCCCTCACGTTCACGCCAGCCCTATATATTTTTATTCAAATCAAGCCAATAGTTTCAAAACTCATATTTTGTGTATATATCATAAAATAATGACAAGCTCTTTTGGAGATATACAACAACACTTACTTAATTGCTTCTCGAAGATAATAGAAATGGCGATAGTAGTAATCAATTCTGTAAATATCCATAAGAGCTTCTTCCACGGAAAGGGTTGGATCATTGAATTCATTCATACCTGCAAGTTAAATTAATGAGGTCTACAATACAAAATGTAATAATACATATTATTTTAAGCCTTGATCAAGTGTTTATCACTTACAAAAATTACACATTTTGTCATGAATTATGTCAATATACTATGGATTTATACGATATATTTGTTCAATATACATTCTCATTCTTTTTTGTCTGAATTTAAATTTCAGTAGCATTCATGAAAAATGAATGCGTGCGTATTTACCATTTTCAGTGATGTAAATCACAGGATTGTTGTATTTGTGTTTTGTATATATCAAAAGGTCGCGAAGTCCCCTTGGCCAAAAGTACATCCAAGTTGAAGCAGCCTGCATATAATTATAAACAGATATTTGTTATAATATTTTATCAAACGGATTCAACTTGGAACACAACAACGATTTTAGGTGGCACGCACGTACCCTTAGACCTAAGGGTCTCCCATTGCGTTCATCTGCAATTGCAAAAATAAAGACAAATCATTATCAGATTTAACATATGTACGTATTACCTAACACACGTCATAAAAAAATGTGTATTATCAAATAAAAACTACACAAGTAAGAGAATCTCAAATTTAAATTGCTTAAAACATTTTAAACAAATAAATTACTTAAATTTATAACTCAATCATTCTCTATATTTTTGAATTGAGCTTAGATTGAAAATATGAATATGGGTAATAGATAAATAGATGGATAGTCCTTACATGAAGTATTGGTGAGAGAATCTGTCATGTAACTGGGTCTGGCGTTGCTTTGGCGAGGTAAACCATTAACATAATTAGAGGAGTAATAGTTTATGCCAATAAAATCATATGAACCATTCACTTGCGTGGCTTGCCATTTAGAGAACTTGGGCAATCGACTTCCCACCAGGGCTCGCATGTTTGTAGAATAGTCCCCTGTTGTTAATGGTTCCATAAACCTTCAACAATCAAACAAATTACAAATCAATAATCTTTATGTACCTCTTTGGTCCGTGACCATGAGCTCTGTGATTAGAGTTTTATGATTAGAGAAATTAGTTATTTAAATTGTAAAATGTAAAAGAAATGGTGTATCTCTAGAGAATTCATATAAAAATTATAAAAATAAAATTTAAGCAACTCAAATTAACATAGTAACACCCCTAGAGATACTCTTAATAACTTCTCATAATTAACATGTCTAAAAATCTCAAACATGGGACAATGGCTAGTGGCTTTGGCATTTCTTAATCTAGTGCTGGTGGTCAAAAACAGGCCCAGCCAATAAAAACCTTCACCAAGATTCCTATCAACAAATGAAGGACCACACAAAATAAGTAATGCCCAAAGGCCCTGTAAGCTTGATGAATGTGGTTGGAAACCGTTTAATGAGAAGCAATGACAATGTCTATTTTGAATAATACTGATATTTTTATATTTGTGAGTGTTGTTATTCTATTTATTTGATGATAGAAAGAGGAGCACTTACCATCCATACTGAAAGTCAAGCGCCCGTTTGGCAGCCTTTTCATCGGATGTGCTGTTCTCTGCGAGTGGCATGTACCAGTTACTTACTAATGTTATTCCTATCTTTCCCTTCTGTTGTGCCTGTATTCATTATTTTTAAAATAATCAATATTTTAAACATGTCAATCTATTTTCTTCATAACTGGGGTGTATAAATTATTTTTCTTTTATACAAAAAAATTTATTTTTATTATTAACTGAGAAGTTTACCTAAACTTGTTCAAAGAAGTGTTTACAGTTTAGTATGATTTGAAAAAATCATTCAATAAGAACCAAAAATTGAATAGAATCACAATATTAAATTTGATTTTTTTTAGTTTTTACTCTTTTAAATAAGTTCGGTAGTTTAAGGTTTACTTTTGAGTATTTTACAAGTTAATTCTGTCTCTACTTGCACCTGAAGTGTTGCATGCATACCACAGAACAATTAGGATATGTTTAGTAGACAAAACTGAATAACCAGATAAAATTTCTCTATTTTACCTTATTTTCAATGTTTAGTTAACCAATTTAACATAATAAATTAATTAGTTATATGGACTTGTCCTATTCTTTTCTCTAATATAAATTTTATCTTGCTTTTATTCCATTCTTATTCAACTCTCGTTTCATATTATTTCCTATTCTACTGTGTACATTAAACCGAGCCTTAATGTTCAAATGTAACAAATATTAAAGGGTTATCATCAAAAGTTAACAAAATAACGAACCTGATATTTAGTCTTATAAACATGAACAGCTTCTGCATGAGCAAGAAGTTGATTGTGTGCAACGATATAAGGTTCTGTCCCAGAATTACCACCAAGGCATTGTGGATCGGAACATCGACCCGGTGCTGTATTCCCCACTGCATAGCCACCTTGGCTGAATAACCATGGCTCATTCAAAGTAACCCAAAGCTTCACCCTATCTCCAAATTCCTTGAAGCAGATATCCACATAGTCTCGAAAATCATCTCTGAAAAATTAACATGGAAGTTCAAGAAATTACAATCATATCTACATTTTGAATTTGCTAGGTAAACATTAATTAATAAGCTAAAGTATAAAATGGACACTTACACTACACGAGAACTTAAGAAACCACCATATTCATCGTCCAAAGCTTGAGGAAGGTCCCAATGAAAAAGAGTCACAAATGGTTGTATACCTATAATTAATTCGAGGACATGTAACATTTTTGTTATCAACAATTTGATAAATAAAATACTAAAATGTAAAGTGTAAAAAATAGGGTTTGTATTGTGAGTTGTAACCATTAGCTAATAGCTCGTTGATGAGGTTGTTGTAATACTTGATTCCTTCTTGATTGATACCCCCACTTAGCTTTCCTTCTGTTGATACACAATTAATAATAATTAAAAAAAGAGAGTAAAATTATTGACACAAAACATCCAACCAGATAAAAATGAGTCTTGGATGGTCATTGATCAAACTTACTTGGCAATATTCTAGGCCAAGAGATTGAGAATCTGTATGAATCAAAATTCATATCCTTCATAATCCCAACATCTTCCTATAACATATTGACAACAACATATACACTATTATTTTGCACAGAAAATCAAAATGAAATGCTGTGAAAACTACGTACTGTAAGAAGTCTAATAAATACTTAGTTTAGTTCTAATTTAGTTGAAATCACTTGATAGATGAATTTCGTTGCTAATTATTGATTTTTCAATTGATAATTTGAGCACAATTCTCTATAACTGTATTTTAAAAATGCAAGCAGATTGCACGAAAAAAGGCATGGGCAATAAACAAGTTTATTTTAAAATAGAAAAGGGACTTACAATCACTTTTATTATTGGGATTGTTTATAGTGTGTCATAAATACATAACAAAGTCTAAAATACTTTTTATTAAAAACAAAAAAAAATCATTTAATGTTTACTTTTTTTAAGTAATTTAAAATGTTTTTAAGGTTATTTTTAGTGCTTTCATACCATGTGTCTATCGATATATGCATGTCTTTGTTTGGTAATATATTGGAGCAAACAATACCTTGTAGTGGTGATATTGATCAACGGCCACGTCTCCAGTGGTTCCATCCCTTACCTTTTCTGTCAAATCATACATGCTTAAGTGTAAATAATACATTACACAATTTAATATCAAAAACCAACCTCAATTTTTAAGCCTTTTTCAAACTCAATTTGATTTTAATTTTATATTTTAATATACCATATTAATAAATAATAATAATTATAATAATAATAATAATGTATTTTGATCTAAATAATTTACTTTCATAATTTCCTCTACAATTTTAAAATAACTATGAACTCATTAATTAAGTAGCGGTCAACTATCTAAATTTAAATAAACTAGTAGCTTGAATAGTTTTGATCAGATTCTTAAAAATAAAGTTCAGTTTTGAGAGCAAGAGCTCAGCAAGCTATGATGTAAATAAAGAAGAATAAATATTATTTGATGTTTAATAAAAAGAGAAGTATAAAATTTGAATATAACTTAGCAATTATCACATGAACAAGAGAATTCATTAAATCTCATGATTTTTAAATTTGTAGAAGTCACGTCCTCCTTTTATTTTTGGGTTAAAATTTTTTGTCCTCCTTTTATTTTTGGGTTAAAATTTTTTGTCCTCCTTTTATATACGACTTTTGCAACCATCCTTGCAAATTGCAATTTAACATTTAACTGTAAATTTGTGTGATGTATATTACCATAATAGCTCGTTTTTTAATTTATAGTTTTACTTAACAAATAATGCTTAGCATAGAATATGTAATTTTTGAAAAATAATATATGCATCTGGTATTCCCATAGACAGAGAGAGAGAGATACCTGGATGATTATGGGTAAAGGTATCCCATATACTTGGTCCTCTACCACCTTCATTTGCAGCACCTTCGAACTACATAATGCACAACAAAAACCATGTAATAACGGGATTATGCAGAAAGAAAACTCATTCTTACACTTAAAATATATGAAATAACTCATTAAAGAAAATAAAATTTGCTTTTTCAATTAATTAGAAATTTTTTAAAACAATTGAAACAAGGATGGATTTATAGGGGGGCAAGGGTGAGTTCTCATACAAATAAGACTTAGATTAGATATGAACCACTAAATGAAATAAAAAAATTAAAATACATAATAATGTGATTATTTTTTATATTTTAGCTAAATTTAAAATATGTGTAATGTATTAAAAATATTTTTAAAATTATTTAACTTTTCTCCATTTATTAACTATGGATCCGTCCATGAAGTTCCGTTTGGAAAAAAAAAAGAATGACAATAAATGAAATAAAAAAAATTTGTTTTTAGATGAGTAATAATAATAATAATAATAATAATAATAATATTTCCTTCTTGCTTAGATAAATTAAAATGACAGCAAAAGACAATTATTAAATCATATTAATAATAAACATAAAGAATTAAATTAATATTTAAATTTTATTTTTTATCATAATTTTTTATTAAAAATTTTTATATAATTTTTCATATTATAATTATATTAATATTTTAAAATATAAAAGAAAAAAACCCTCCCTTCCATAAAACTCCCATGCTCCCTTCCTTTTTCCTTCCTTATTCACATTCTTCTAAATTAAAAAAGGAAAAAAGGAATATTTTGTAATGGGACCTACAGAAAGATTTGTATCCTGTATTTTTCTAATGTCTTACAGGATCCCAACAGAAAAATAAATAAATAAATAAAAATCCGTACTGTTTTCTCTCCTGTCTCAGTACTATCCAAACACACCAATTTTTAAAATGTTGGGAAGGAAAGTAAGGAAAAGAAAGTCTTTCTTATAAAACACCTTCAATTCAAAATCTTAAAATAATGAATATACAGGTTTATCTCTTTATCTACCTTTAATTTATCTCTGTCTCACATTATGTGAGACTTTATTTACACTTATTTCAACATAAAAGATATATTTAAGCCATTTTGATATACATAACTAGAAATTAATGATATAGAGCATGTAAAGAGGGGTCTCAAAATTATGAAGCAACTTTTCTTGGTAGGCTTGGTTTGTGGGCAACAAAATGTGTTATGTAAGATAGGAAGAGTTACGTGTGAATATATATATATATATATATATATATATATATATATTGATGAAGAGAGAGAGACCTGATAGGCTGAGGATCCTGCCCCAAAGATGAAGCCATGAGGGAAACTGCTACGGTTGAGCGAAGCAGTGGCATCAAGAAGAGGCGAAAATGGAAGTGAATCTGTGACTGTGAATGAGAAAACGATGAGAAAAGGAAGAATGGGAAGAAGGAAATGGCCCTTGAATGCCATAACTAAGTGTGTCAGAGTGCTGTGCTCTTCACTGCACATCAGTAATGATCCTTGCCATTCATTTTATAGACCATTGCTACCCCACTGCATGTGCTCCTTTCAATCATAATAGTAAGACAAGGACAATCATTTTCACGTCTCAGGTACATGCGAGATTCGGACTCCAATCTCACCAATTCAAATATTATCATTTCTTCTTCTTTTTTTATATTCTTTTCTTATCAGTTTAAATTAATCTAACATCTCTCGTTTATAACTTTTATTATTATAATAAAAAATTAATAAAATTTACATTACTTTTTATAATTGAGAGAGTTTAGTATTTATTGTTTTATGTGAAATAATTTTTATACTTAATTTTTTATTAATAGATACTAAAACTAGTAATTTAATTAAAAATGATTTAATAACTTCTAATCTTTAAAAAATTATAATTATTAATCTAATAAAAGTATAGAATAATTTTTTATATTTATGGAGTATTGTAGTGAACACCTAAAAATTATTATTATTATTATTATTATTATTATTATTATTATTATTATTATTTAAAATTTAAGCTTAAAAACCAAGGTTAACTTTATGCATTCAAAAACACATTTAATACTAGGGTCCATTCTTCTAAAGTATGATGATGCAATAAAGGATAAAGTAGCTGATGTCTTGATTGGTGTAATATTTTAATCACAATTTATTTTGACTCTATATTATATTTTATAAATTATTACATGATCATTTCTCAAGGAAACTTGTACAGTATATTCTATCTCTCACGTTTGTTTAACAAGCTTATTTTGAACATTCGATATTCATACATGAAAAAAAAAATCATTAAAAATTATATTTAACTAGCTATTTCTAACGAAAATAGTTTTAAAAAAACTTATTTCTATATATTAAAGTTGAAAAATGAGGTTTGAGAATGTTTGTTCTTTCTTGTAATACGATTCTGACTAACAGAGATAGCAAAAGAACATTTTTATTTAATGAAATTTAGAAATAAAGCTTCATAATATTTATATAGGCAATGTGAAATTTTGTAATATTTATAAGCAATGCTTTTTAATCATCTTTCTTTTTTCATGGGTACTTTCTAATAACTGTTTTTTATGCGTGATTGTCTTCAATCGCTGCTATTCATTATCTATAACTGCTTATGATCGTTGATGATTGTGACTTCCCAATAACTGTTGTTACCTACGATCATTTATTCATGCCTACAATCTTTTCTTCGTGTCTATGACCTTTAATTAGTGGTAACCGTTTTAAACTTTGTTTGAGCTTTGTGATTGTTTGTCATATTTTCTTACCTCTTGGACTCCACTTTGTATCTTGGCCTTAGAATAAATTTTTTGTTATATTTTGATAATTGTGAGAAAAATTGTTGAAAACTCTCGTAAACTTAGAATAATTTTTCTGACATCCTTTATTTTTGACTAATTCTAAAAAGAAATTAGAATCACATTCAGTCTCGTGAACTTAGAATAATTTTTTCATCGAATTCTATTTTTCGATCAATTCTAAGGAAGATCTGGGAGCTTATTTAATTTTGTGAACTTAGAATAATTTCTATTTTTTGACCAATTTTGGAAGAAATCTGGAAGTTCATTCAATCTCATGCTTATTTTTTTGACCAATTCTGAAAGAAATCTAGGAGTTTATTCAGTTTCATGGACTTATAATAATTTTCTTGTTAGTTTTAATTTTTTGACCAATTATAGGAGACATATGAGAGTACATTTAGTTTCGTGAACTTAAAATAATTTCTATCAATTCCTATTTTTTGACTAATTTTGGCTTTCTTCATTCTAAAGGCTTAAAAATCTTCAGAAACTCATCGAAAAGTCATCTTCTTTTTGACATCTCATGACCCTTCAAAACTATTCAAAATGTAGTCATCTTCTCGATAAATAATGAGTCTCTCTTCATGATGCTCCAAAAACTAGTTGAGATGTAGTCTTTTAGGCACAGAAAGACTCTTCTCCAAACCCTTAAAAACTCTTCAAAAAGTAGCTTCTTTTATAAGATTTTAGAACTTGGACATTTTTCAAAAGTCTATACATGGTCTATCAACGTATGGAAAACCTAAAGTTCTTTGATTTTAGTTAAAAGATATGCTATATTATTGGTCATATATTTTTCCTTAAAGAAAAAACATAATATATTTTTTTACCACAAAAGTTTTGATAAGAACCTCTGTAACTTAGAAATTTTTGTTTTTTTCCAAACAGTGGATTAACTATTAAAAATAGAAGAAAGCAAAATTATGCAATGGTTAGTTATTATTTAACGGTGTTTTTATCGAACGTTATTTGCTTTAATCCAAACGTTATTTAACCTCATTAGTGGACTAACTACTGCTATTCAAAATTAGAACAGTAATGTTCATTCTTTCCTTCTCGTTGTTAACAAGATTGCCTTTGATAAAAAAAAAAAGAAAAAAAAAAGCCAGTTTTATTTTAGAAAACGGGATATTCCCAAGTTTCTTTTAATAAATTTTCATTTTTCAATTTCATTTATATAATTTTTTTCGACTATTTTTTTGTCGGAATTATGTTTTAAGAAAGAAAAAATATTCGACAGACGGTGGGAACAATTGATCACGAACCGAGGACAATGTTAATAATGACAGTACTTTTCATTTGCCAGCTCTATTGATTTTGTCCAAATATGATTTGTGTTAAAAATTAGAAATAAAACGAGGATAATCGAATAAATGCGCTATCTTTAATTGGTAAAAAAATAAATTAAAGGCATAAAAAGTATTTTATACTCTGTAACAATGAATAATTATAATTTTTTATCTATTAATAATAAAATTAATTAGTTTATTTAAAAAAATATACACATTTTTTAATTTTTAAAATATTAAAAAATCACAAATCCTCACTATAAAAAGAATATTTAATTTTTCTTTAAATTTAAAAGTATCATAACAGACACTTTGCTTCGTTGTCTTATTAGTTTTACTTGTTTGTATGTTTTTAACTTTTTATTATTATATATTTAATATTCTTAATAAATAAATAATATGAGATAAAAGTTTTGTTGCTAAATAAAAATTTTATTTTTCTCTGAAATTTCCGTTAATACTATTTAACATAAATAACAATTATTCAATAATATTAATAATATAATATAAATACTGGATATATAAATTAAAATATTAAATGTATTGTAAACTCATACATCATACAAGATATAAAATCTAATTTTCTTAAATAATTAAAAAGACAAAATTAATTCTTTTTATCGTAGAAACAATATATTCACTCATTCGATCATTTCGATGTATGTCTATGTTATAGTAACAATAAATATACTTTTAATTCTGATATGTCAATGAATTTTTATTTTATTTTTAAAAATATTTTTTTATTTTAACCTTTACCTTTTTATAATTTTTTCTTTTTAAGTTATAACGCTGATGTGATAGAATAAAAAAATTACACATGACAATATCTTAATAAACCAGATTAACATTAGGGATTAAAACAGTAGAGAATAAAATAAAAAAATTATTTAAAGAGAGAAAATTAGAAATTTTTAAAATGTAAAGATAAACGATAATAATAATAATAATAACAATAATAATAATAACAGACAATGTAAGTTAATGATGAATTCAATTATTTAGAGGTTGAAAAGAAAAGGCAATTATTTGAGGTTCAAATTAGATCCATACAGAGCATGCGCCAAAAATACAACGAAGACATCACAGTCCTCATCACAAGAGTATCATCCATGCTGGTGCAGTGGCTCCCACGACATCTACCAGTGTTTTGTTTTCTCAAGAAACAATCGAGTTTTATGGTCAATATCTCAGTTGAGTTGATTACTCTGGCTCAGAGATTATCAAAAGTTCAAAACAGTGCACAAAGTTACATCCACCTTTTCTTTAGCTAAGCTATTATTCAGTCCACAATTATTTGTAATACTTTGTTTCCTTGCATGGAATATTGAAAAGACAATCAAATGAAGATAATCCAATAACTTTGTTATGTTTGATTCATTAAAACTAAACTAAAGAATACTGTTCATTATAAGAGATCCAAAGATAATATTTATTTTTCTTTACAATTTTTTTAACTTACGTTTAAGTGGCACCTCTCTCCATGATTTTCACTGAAATTTAACATAATTTTTAATAATAAAATCAATTTAAATAATATTATATAAAGATAAAAGTATTATGTCATGATATCTAAAAATATAAAAAAATTATTAATCTCAGTCTTTAGAGTTGAAAATAAACAGCTAATAATAATAAAATTTTATTAAAAAAAGTATTTATTATACTTTTATAGTTTTAATATAATAATTATGTATTTTTTTATAAAAACTTTCTATTTATAAATATTTAAACTCAGTTTTAAGGGCAGAAGTTGACAAAATCTTTAAAAAATAAATAAAATTTAACATTTTTTCAGGTTACATAATTTAATTAAATGTACTTTATAAAAAATAAAGAATATTATAAATAAGTGTTTATCATATGTCATTAAATATACATAAAAAAAATATTCCTTTCATTATAAAACTACCATATGTGGAATCTACATCCATTCTAATGATGGCAAAAACTGAACATTTAAATTTATTTTTACTTAAGAAAAAATAAACTCATTTAAACTAAGATAGAGAAAAAAAAATACACATAAATAAATTTTGCACCTTTTTTTTTTAACCTTTAGTTCTCTTTCCTCCTCCTCTCATATCAAATTTCTCTCTTCTTTATCGAGCTTACTCTTTTTCACTTATGTCTAAGTTTTCTTTTCCTCTCTTCACCTTTATCTTCACCTTTATACTCATCTTCCTTTTTTCTTTCACCATCTTCACCCATTTCTAGTTCTTTTTTCTTCTCATGTCGAGCCCTCTCTCATTCCTTTCACGAGAAAGTAACAATTTTTTCATTTTTTTTAAGTGAGTCTATCTTTATTTAAACAAAAATAAAAATAAATGTTGATTCTGTCACAACTGAATTTAAATCCATTATTTTGAATTAAGTTAAAACTAAAAGTGTTATTCTAACATAATAAAAAGTAGATAATTTTTTAAATTGAAAATTATCTTTTTAATTATATTACAATATTTATTTTTAAACTTTATTCAAATCTTAAATAATCATATAATATATTTTAATTAATTCTTTATTTAATAATATTTGCATAATACATAAAAATAAAATTTGTGTGGTACCATTGTTTAAGAAATTTTTTTTACTCTTTTTATGTCTTTTTTCTTAACTTTCATTTTCTATTTTAATACTCTTTTCTCTACTTCTATATTCAAACTTCTAATTTTTTTTTCTGTGTCTAACTCCTCTTTTTCTTTTCCAACGCCCTCTTCACCACCTTTACTCCAACCTCTACCCAACTCCCCCTTTCTCTCCCACTCTATTACTAACTTATTTCTTCTTCTCCTTACTCTTATCTCCACCTTATACTTAAATGAGTCTATTTTTATTTAATCAAAAATAAAAATAAATGTTAGTTTTCACCACAATTAGATTAGATCTAGATATAGTATTTTAAACTAAATTAACACTAAAGTGTTACTCTGCACAAAAATAAATAATAAAAAATAGATAATTTTTTTAATTCAAAATTATTACAATATTTATTTTTAAAATTTATTAAATCTTAAATAATTGTATAATATATTTTGATTATTTATTAATTTAATAATATTTATATAATACATAAAAAAAATTTGTGGTACTAATGTTTAAGAAAATTGAAGTCGTTTAAACTAGGGTTAGGCAAAATTTGTGAGAGTATGAAACATGTTTTAAAAAATAATATTTCATAATTTATTTTAAAAATATATTATTTTGTGCTGAATATTTTAATTTTAAAAAATATTTTCTCTGAAAAATATTCTTAATCTAGAAAAATAAAACAAAATACAAAATTGCCGACAACACTTTGGGACCCGTGCGCCACTATGTCGACAGATGTGTCAGTTGACAGGTAAAGAATCTTTTTAAAATTGTGTTTGATGCAATGCTTTGAAACACCTCTCAAACTTTTATCCTACACGTGTAACATGAAACTCGCACGCTGTTTAACTGTGCTGGATAAGGGTATATTTGAATCGGTTTAGATTATTTCTAATTTAAAAAAGTATTTTAACCGTATATAAAAATTACATGCTGTTTATTTTAGTTTGATTTTAAATTATAAAGAAAGATTGAATTTAAATTAATTTTTATTATTAAATTATTATTTTTTAAAATTATATTTATTATTACATGATTTATAATATACTTTTAAATTTATAATAAATATTAATTTAAAAATTAAAATGACTTTATTAAAAATATAAAATAAGAGAATTATAATTAAAAATAAGATTTTGTTAATTTCAGCCTTTAAAGCTGAATTTAAACATTTATAAATGAAATTTTTTATAAAAAAATATATAATTATTATATTAAAGTTATAAAAATATAATAAATACTTCTCTTTATAAAGTTAAAAAAAATAAAAATATTATTGAGTTATATTTTAAACAATATTTTTAAATTAATCCTGTAATTGTTTTTTTAAAAGAGTAATTCCTTAAATATTGGAGAAGTCAATGCTGTAACTTTCAAAAGGAATAAATTAAAACATATCTCTTCACGTGTACTTGATCCGTTTTTCTACGATATCAATGAAACTATCATGAAATAACAAATAAAGGGTTAAGTGAAAAAGACTTTGAGATTGAAAGCTATAGCAGGAACAGCACTTGTGCCAACCTTTCTATTAAGGTTTACCAATAAAAGAGAAAAAAATGGCACAAGTCTTTGCTCTTGCTTTGACAATAACACACTCCGTCGCGTCTCTCTCTATTTGTTTTGTTTTTTACTGAAAATTAAAATGAACTCGTTAAGTATTACAAAATTTACAAAATAGTTATGTAAATTTGATTTAGGTTAAAAGTATGACCTAAGACCTTTTCAAATTTTTTATATACTTTTATTGAAATCTTAAACAGGAAATATGATTGTTAAACTTTTTGAGTATATTTTTATCTCTTAAAAATAAGTTATATTTTTATGTCAATTTTTAGTTTAATCAATTATTCAATTAAAATGCTTGTCTTAGATTCAATCATTAGAAGAACTCAGTTAAATGATAGTGTGACAAATTAGAATGTCACAATCATCACTTACGTATGGTAAAAAAATTGACTCGTTGACAATTTACACATGCACGTTTTGGCCACGCGTCTTCCCTGTCTACATTTTGATTAAGTCATTCAACGCCGCAGAACTTTACCTCCATTCCATCTCTAACTTTCAACTATAAATTAGGTCACGGCGACTCATTTTGGATGTGTCCAAAACATTGAACAGATATAGTTTTATAAAAATAATTTATAATTTTTTTTAAAATTTATGTTAATATAAACTTTTTTTTTGTTTGCAATTTTGTTCTTTTTGTAACTAGTTTTACTTATTTTAAATCATTTTTCCTTCAATTTTTCTTTAATTTTAAGGTATTAAGAGATAAGCAACTTATTGGTAGCTGTGGTGTGTTATGCTAAGATCCAGTGAGGGGAGTTGGATTAGAGTTTTTTTATAAGAAATATTGGTTTCACTTATAATTATGTAGCAGAATTGTGGGAGCTTTGGACGGTTTAAGGGCTTGGAACATGGCCTTGAGAAGACTTGATTTTGCAGTAGCTGTAGAAAACTTTCAACTATAAGCTTTAGGGTATTGATCCCAAGTCTAACTACTTATTATCCACCAATATTGTGCCATAACTATTTATCTACCTTCAATCAATTATCATTCAAGTCTATCTTAAATTCAACTATGATTTTTAACATCAACTCCTCTTTAAACGTGCTTTTACTGCTAGACAATTTTGAAATTTTTTAACAAAGTATCAACTTTAATAGATGCATCATGTCTATCATATCGGCACTAGATACAATTTCATTCATAAATAGTTACAATATTAAGTGTGCTTAACAAAAAAATTCAGCTCAATTATGTATATATAATAATTTTTTAGTTCAAGTACGGTATCTTATAAATTTATGGCAAACTTTTCATTAATTTGTGCATTAAAGTTTTTTTTTTCTTTTCAAGAAGACTACTTTCAAAAGTATCAGGATTTCAAGAGTTTAGGCCTCTCTCGACATACGTTAGGTATGTTTGGAAGAAGAATTTTTGAAAAAAGAATAAATTAGAAGAATTATATATTATTTATAATAATAAATACATAATTAATACATTAAATTTATATTAATATATTAATTTATATATTTTAATTTTAAAAGAAGCAGAATTTTCTTATACCGGCGTAATTTTAAAAAAATTTAAATTTAATCTAAACTTTTTATTTAATTTACATCTAACTAATTATAATTTATTATTTCACTAGCAGTTAAATATTAGTTAAATAAAACATTTAGATTGAGTGAAAGAGTAAACTTGTACTGATGTAAGAAGATTTTTTTTATTTTAAAAATATTATTTTTAAATATACTTATTTAAAATAATAAAACTATTCATTTTAAATATATTTATTTAAAATAAAAAATTATTCTTCCTTTTTTTTTTTCCCCTTCCAAAACTCTCTTCTTCGGCAACCCTTAACGACAAAGCTCTCAATGACCCAAAAATAAAATAGTAGAGCTTTTGTGAAGAAGATCAAATGTTTCTGGGTGGGAAGCATAGATTAAACATATTTACATGGAAGCAATAAAGCTGCGGATAAAATTAGTAATTTAAAATGTTCTCATAACAAGAGATTAATGATTTATGAACAACCTCCTTATGGGGTTCTCATAACATATGAATTTATGTTAAATTAAAAAGTTTAAATCTATTTTTATTTAAATATATAGTTTTTAAATATAACTAAATTTGATATTTTTTATTTTTTTTAGATTATCTTGTTATTTGGTGATAATATGACACACAATATACTCATGTCACATTAATAGAATATTCAAGAGTAGAAGTGACAAAAATGTTACATTATCAATAAATGACAATCAAATTATTTTAAGAAATCTAAAATATACGAGAAATAAATTTTAAAAAAAAATTAAAACTAAAACAAAATATAATTGTATCTAAAAATATATTTTATCTTACAGTTTTCATTTTAAAAATTTGATGTTTTTTGTTTTATCCCTTGCAGGTACATAATTAGAGTCTTGAAATGATTTTAAAATTTAAAATGATTTTTTTTCTATTTTTTTATTTAAATAGCATCACTGACAATTTTACTTATTTTTAACGAAAATTGATTATCTCTTGTTGTAATGTCTTTCGGACATGCTCTGACAACATTAATAAAAGAACTTATGATATATCAAAAAGTTTAAACATATTTTTTATCCTTAAAAATTTGATGTTTCATATTTTAGTGTTTATTCAATTATTTTACTTTTCAAGTCCCACAAGTTAAATAGTTAAACGCTTTCAGTTCGATTGATCGTTAAGGGTCTCATAGAGGACTTAAAACGCATTATTTCATTAAAAATAATTTTTTCACACTAAAATTAAATACACAGCAACTTCAAAAGAAAGCCAAAGGAACAGTTAAACATGATCAAAATTAAAGCACCCAAAATAAAAACACGATCGTAATATACAAATTGAAAATATATAAAAAGATTTAAAGTGAAAAATAATAAGATAGCATCATAAAACTGAAAGCATCATATAGTAAATTTTCAGATTCATGCATGAATCAAAGGAGGAAACAATTACCAGGAGTCACCAACCCCCCAAAACCAGCAAAGGATAAACAAAACACGTAAATAGAATAAAACGAAAGATCAAAAAATTCAATTGCTAATTGATCGTATAGCTAGAATTCACAGCATGAGAAGAAATCTATGAAACAGCATAGTCTTGCTTGCACAGAACACCAGCTTCAGCAGCTCCACGAGGTTTGCTTTTACGCCTATTTCCATTATGCCGAAACCCATTATTAGACTTCGTCAAGTCATCATTGTTTGACTTTGATCCATTTGCAACACCATTTTTCTCCTCTATCGATTCTATTTTCTCATGTAAATTTCGTTTTCTTTTTCTTCCGTGTCTTGTAGTGTTGACACTTTTCAATTTTATCTCTTCACTATATATGCCATTCTTAACGTTATCACCACTATCATCATGATCTTCTAATTTTCTCACTTGTTCTTCATCAAAGTCATCCTTAACCTTAAGCAGTTTTTGTGGCCTCCCTCTTCTTCTTTGCATAGGAACTTTTTCATCCTCACCACTTACAGGATCCTCGTCATTGACAACACTTAACTTTTTATCCTTTCCTCTACCTCTACCCATAATCTTAAAATCCAAGAAAATTTGATCATGCAAACCAGTATCTCTGCCAGTAAAAAAATAATACAAAAACCACAAAAAACAGAGTCATTTCTTCCCTACAAATTTCACTTTTTTTTTTCATTTGAGGTATTATATCATCACTTTCTAACACTTCTAACAAAAAATAGAAATGAATTTTTTTATTCAAAATTACATTAAGATATAATCATAAAAGTTACAGGAGAAATGTATTAATACTATTTCTGAATCTTTTTTTTTTAAATTCTTTAATTAATGGAACAAAAAAACATAATTTAATTGTTACTTTTCAGTTATAGAAAATAAAATTGAGGTTTGATTGATTTATGTGCAAACTCCGTTAATTTCTGAAATTGGAAAATTTCCACTTTTATAAATGTACATCGTAAAGCACACATGAAGTAATTCCGATCGTAAATCTTATTCAAAATAGCTGAAGCCGAAGTTTAGAGGCTGAGATTGCTATTTTGAAAAAAAAATACTGAATTAAGACACATGAAGTTATAATTATGGATGGTAAATCAACGAAGAAAGCCGAAACAAGCTATGCTTATAATCCAATCTAAATAATAAGAAATCTATAATAAAGCAAGAAAGCAATAGGTTTGCGGTAATTAAAACAAATCAATAGTAACAACAACAATAATAATAATAATAATAATCGAAATGAATGAAGTCACCTTAATTAATCTTTGAAAAGTCATAAATGAAAAAGCTAATAACATAAGAGAAACGGAGGAAGAAGGAAAAGAATGAGAAATACCTGGATTATGAAACACTGAGTATATACGATGAGTGTTCCACAGTGATTTTGGTGGCTTCTAAGAACAAGAGCCAAATGAAACACACCAAGATATTCACTCGATTCTACTATCTCAACCTAACTCTATTGTTCCTTTCTATATTGTTAACATGTTGAGGAAGACATTTTTTTAAACAATTTTTAAATGCTTAGAAGAGTAACCCTTCATCTTGTTTTAAAGGATGTTTGTTTTTCTCTAACATTACTTTAGAACATCGAATTAAACTTTTAATCATAATTATACCAAAAAGGAATTAAAGTTTACAAGATTTGAGCTTAAATTATAAAAATATAATCCTAAATAAAGGCAAACAGATACAGTTATATCATCAATATCGTTAGTGACAATGGTTACAATAATGGAGTTAATTAATATTATAAGACTATACGTGCAAGTAAATGTTGTTACTAACTAAAGTAAATTCTTGTTGAAATAATAATTTCATAGCAATAACTGAGGTGGAGTATATTCTTCTACAGCTAAAGTTAAATTCTATCTATATCTATATCTATATATATATAAAATTGACTACACCTACTTATTACTGAGTGTATTAAATTTTGAAACGTAACTTCATCTACTTATTATTCTATACCTTAAAATTCAAAATTGACTACACCTACTTATTACTGAGTGTATTAAATTTTGAAACATAAGTTTATCTACTTATTACTCTATACCTTAAAATTCAGAATGTATAAAGTCATTCGCATTGATTCCACTTACTTATTATTCTGTACAAAAAAATTCAAAACGTATAACTTATGAATTAAAATTATAATTTATCACACTTATTATGTTTTAATTGTATTTAAAAAATATTTATTAATATTGATGGTTATATTATGTTACAAACAGTAACATAAATATTTATACTATAAATTAGCTTAAATTACCATTATTAAAATTAATTATAATATTTTTCATAATTTACGAATTAAATTTATTATTGTATTTTAATATAATATATATTTTATTATGTACTTCAAACACTAAAATATATTTTGAATTAAAAAAATTAAACTTACAAAATTATTAGTTTATAATATATGTAAATTAAATAATAAAAGATAAATTTACATATTTAAATTATTTTATTAATTTATTAAAATAATCTATATTTCAATATGTACTTCAAATATTAAAATGTAATTTGAATAAAAAAACATATTTAGAAAATTATTTGTTTATATTATGTATTGTTAAATTAAATTTCTAATAAAAATACATTACAAACGGTAAGATAAATATTTATACTATAAATTAGCTGAAATTACCGTTATTAAAATTAATTATAATATTTTTTATAATTTACGAATTAAAATTACTATTGTATTTTAATATAATCTATATTTTATTACGTACTTTAAACACTAAAATATATTTTAAATTAAAAAAATAAACTTACAAAATTATTAGTTTATAATATATGTTGTTAAATTAAATTTATAATAAAAGACAAATTTGTATATTTAAATTATTTTATTAATTCATTAAAATAATCTTCATTTCAATATGTATTTCAAATATTAAAATGTAATTTGAATAAAAAAAATATATTTAGAAAATTATTTGTATATATTATATATTATTAAATTAAATTTTTAATGAAAATAAAATTTTACATATTTAAATTCTTTTATTAAATATTTTAATATAATCTATATTTTAATATTTACTAACAATACTAAATTGTAATTTAGTTTAAAAATATTACATTTATCAAATTATTAGCTTATAATATATATTGTTAAATTAAATTTCTAATGAAATGACAAGTTTACAAATTTAAATTATTTTATTAATTATTTTAATATAATATATAGTTTAATATATATTTTAAAAACTAAAACTTACTTTAAAATTAAATAAATTATACTTACCTAATTATTAGTTTATATTATATATTGTTAAGATCAAATAAAATAATTTAAAATTACTTTCATAATTTGCATAATTTATGAATTATAATTATAATTAATTCATGCTTATTATTTTTGAATTGTATTTAAGAAAAATTTATTAGAATTAATAATTATATAATGTTAACAATGACAATAACAAAACTACTGTAAATAATATTTAATAAAAAATATTAAAATTTATTATAAATAATTTAAACAAATTTTAAAATTTTTTATGTTAAATGTTGAAAATAAAAAAAGAATATTGATTAAATTATACAAAAATACTTTTGAAAAAAATTTATGAAGTTCTTGAGTTATCTTTTAATTATAAATAAAAATATATCTTTGTTTTTAACTTCTATTTAACATTTGAATGTTAATTATTGTTTTATATTATATATTATTAAATTAAATTTCTAATGAAAATACAAGTAAACTATCATACAAATGAAAAGACAACTTTTATTATATTAATTTTTTATTTTCTGACTTTTCATATATCACTGAGTAGGACTTCATCTCTATTTATATAAGTCATGTTTACACAACTTTTAAAAATTTGCTCACGGTTTTTTCTATTGTCATCTTTTTTATTTGTATTTTTCAATTATGTCAGCTATCAAGAATTATCTACCCATGTAAGTACATGCATTTTCGAGTTTGATATTTTTTATTTTATTTCACTAAATTGTGTTATATATTTCAATTTAAGTTTTTGAGTAAGCATAAAGATGTATTTTTTTTAAATAATATTATGTATTAAATTTTATTGTTAACTGATTAATTTGTATCAAATTTATCACTATTTTTCATACTTTTGTAGGAAACAACAAGTTGCAATGAAGATAAATGGACTTTTCTTAACGATTTGAATTCAATAACAGATGATTGTATCAAACCTATATCTCCAACCGTGGAAACAACAAACTAAAAAGAAAGAGAAAATTAATATATAAATTATAAATTTGTAATATATTGTTCAAATTTCTTATATAATACAATAATTTATATTTGATATTTTCTTTTAGGTTACAACTTGAATAAGATGAAGAATAAAAGGCAACAATAGAAGATTTAGAAGATTGAACTATTTTTATTACAATATTGTATAAATACTTTTAATATTATGTATAATTTGAAAAGTAAAATGTCATCAAACATTTAATTTTTTTATAAAATAATTTTATTATCTTATTATATACATTTCTCTTACTTTATTATTATTATTATTATTATTATTATTATTATTATTATTATTATTATGTATTGACTTTATTTTTAACATAAAATTTGCCTAGATTTTATATGTGACTCAAACTTTATATTATATCAACTTCTATAATTTTAATTAATATAAAGATTAATATTTATATTAAATAAAATCATTCTTCTCTTTTAGTTTCTACCTAAATCTTAATTGAAAAAATTTTAACTACTATTTTTTTCTCTTCTTCTATTATTTTTATTTTTTTACAAATAATTTAATAGAAATTGATATATCATAATTATGTATAACTTATTAATGTAGACAATATTTTATATTATAATAATTATGATAATAATTATTGATAAATTGTAATTAAAGAAAATTTATTAAGAATGATGGTTATATTATGTTAAAAATGGCTATATTAATATTGTTGTGAATGATATGATGCTTGATAAAAAATTATTAAATTTTTAAATGTAAAAAATTTTAAAAATTTCATTGTGAAGTAAAATTATACCTAATGAACGAAAATAGTTAAATAGTAAAAAAAAATCTATTAATTTCTTAAGTAACATTTTAATTGATATTAGTTTAAATTATTTTATTAAATACTATATATACAATCTATATTTTAATTTGTACTTCAAATACTAAAATGTACTTTGAATTTTAAAAAAAACTACATTTACAAAGATAGTAATTTATATTGTATGTTGTTAAGTTAAATTTCTAATGAATAGGCAAATTAATATATTTAAATTATTTTATTAATTAGTTTAGAATAATCTATAGTTTGATACGTACTTTAAACTCTAAAATTTACTTTTGCACTAAAAAATTTACACTTATAAAATTATTATTTTATATTATATATTATTAAATTAAATTTCTAATAAAAAGATAACTTTATAAATTAAAATAATATATATAAAATAAAATTAAAATCGTTAAAATAAGTTATAATATTTTGCATAATAAAAATAATTAATAGGAAAAAATATCTATAAATTTGTTGAGTTACCTTTTAATTAAAATAACATTATTTATTTACTTTAAATTATG